TCGGGGCCACGACNTTGACAATATATCCTAAGCTCAAGGTCATCGGAAGCTGCTCCCCTTTTCTGCAGTTTTACCAAAAAAACATATATGGCTAACTGTCCTGTAATAGCATGGCCATCTAAAAGTTGGATAAGATGGCCAATGCGTATATTTTAATATTTTGGTAATATTAAATTTCTGTTAAGTGTTTTCTCTTTAATTTCAATAGTTATTATTACTTTAAGCTTCAGTGAAGTGAAATAAAAAAAACAATATTAAAAAATAACGGTCTGTTTTTAAAAAAAAAACTATGGCCGTCTTATCTGGGTTTATCTTATTACATTGATCTTATCACGCGCGAACACATTCAGAAATACGTACAATATTCAAACGAGACGGAAAATAAAACAAAAAAAAAGAGAACGGTCTCCGATTTCATACGCGGTCTTTCTGAAGGCTGCTGCCAAAATTTGTCGCGGACGTTCACGGTTATCCTTTCACCCCGCAGCTGTTTAACCAGCTGTAACGTATCACACCTCCTCCCTCGATGGCGGCCTTCCCGGGGACCGATGAGCCGGAATTTTTTCACAAAAGGCACGTGTGCATCAATAATCTTCTGTGCGTAATGCGTGACCGCCGCTTCCGTTCGATCGAGTTTCCATGTACGTTCACCGTGTCTACAATATTTTCAGGCTGATCTGGAAGATTTAGTTTCAAGGTCTGGTTCGAAAAATTTCTAATTTCTATGGAATTGCCGCAATGTGATTTAGTCTTCTCAAGAAATCGTTTTTCTATTTTCACTCAATTTGACCTTGAAGAACCATCACTCCATTATTATTTACAATAGTAGAAATTCGCGAGTTATACCGCTTTCCGGTTATACCGTTGTGGTGAGAACGATGGCCTTCAGAAATGTAGATCAGTGGGATACTCTCTTGAAGAGAGTCTGTGTCTAGTCTGAAAATTTATGCCCTTATAACTCGCACAAGCACAAGAATATAGGAGTGTACTAGACCGTTTCCTTGACAACAGTATTAATTCGATACAAATTTTTGACAGAGATGGATGTGCCATTGTAACAAAAAAATCTTGTCAAAGAAAAGATACAGGGTTGGAAATTTGGAGACTTGGTGTCTCTAGGTTTTTAGGTCACTAGTAGGTATTATAAAAGGCGCTCGTGCCTTGTCCTTGAAAAAAAAAAAAAATGAATTGAAGTTTTAAATGAAGAAAAACCTTGAAGTTAAAAATTATAGGAAAAAAAAGAATGTGAATGAAAAAAAATATAAAGATCCATGATCAAGTCACGTCACAAACATGTCCGATCGAACAAGGATCTTACGTTTCCCAACTCATAATCAGTAAACAGTAGTGAGGGATACGGAAGGTTATACTCTGCAAATGCATCTTTTCTTCGTGGTGATTTATGAGATTTCGGTTGTACGACTGATTGTACAAGACGAGGGAAAAATGTTCTTAGCAGGCAACGCCTTTGCGAAAATAAGAGAGCAAAAGAATATTTTGCTGCCATTTGAAATGAGACAAATAAATGCTTTAAAACATTCCAAGGGTAATAATAAAGTAAAAGGCACTCTTACAAACTAAACGAGTCAAAATTAAAAGTTTCCTAAGTGTTTGAAAATATCCTGACAGTAGGTGCTTTAACATAGCTAGGAAGATTATATTTCGAGTTACTACTCGAAGATTTATGCGAGATAAATACAAATACAAAGAGAAGAAATTTAAGATATCAAAAGAGATATAAAACGCGGAAAATAAGCAAATAAAAGAATTAATCGAAAAAAAAAACAAATTTAAAAAAAAATTCAAAAACAAAATTGATCAGATTTGTTTCACAGCGAAAGTCTACCGGTGATAGTGGTTAATTTATTGTAAAAATGAATTATACTTTTAAATGTAAATGGAACGCGTTTCGATGAAACGATTATTTTAGTTCGATCATCTTCAGCCAATATTTATATAAACAGTATAAATACACACATTTGTCCATATTCTTTACCAAAAGTATTAAAATAAACATAATTCTGTTTTTATCACATCGGGACTCACTACGAGAACAACATTATTTTTTGCACAAACATCTTGTTAAACAATGGTTATCCTCTCTCGAGTTGATTTTTAAGAGTATTAATACTAGAATTAAAAAACTTATTAAACTTAAAGGCTGCTCGTGACGGAGCGATCCAGTGTACTGATGAGAAAAACTTTTGTTGTTTTTTCTTACATCAAGGATATATCCGAATTTGTTGGACATTTTTTTAAAAACACAGATCCTTTTAATCGGTTATAAACGCTTTAACAAAATAATTACTTAACAAAATAATTAGAGTTTGTAAGGACAGTGCTTCTCACAATTTTAATACAAACATTGTTTATAAATTAAATTGTAATAATTGTAATGCGTTTTATGTGGAGCAGACCAGAAGGCAGTTACGTACTAGAATAAAAGAACACATAAATAACATACGCACTCCACAATTATCCGTTGTTTTAAAACATAGATCGGACTATGATCATTCCTTCGATTGGAACAATGCTGAAATTTTAGACCACGAATCGAATTTCTACAAGAGACTTGTCCCTGAAATGATTTATATCAAGATGCAATCTCATGATCTCAATTTACTTAATGATCTTGAAATGTTAGACTTCTTATTTCGAACTTTTAAGCAGAATGAAACATTGATTTTGAAGCAACGATCTTTTATCTTTGACAATTTTCTTTGGAAAAGATAAATATATAAATAGCTGTATCTGTTCTTTTTTCAACAGTTGACTTTGTACATTGATATATTGTAAGTAAATGGACTTATGTTTGCGTCCTCATATATTTTGCGGTTTACCATCTCTTTACGTTATCTTCGGTGTTTTTGTGAGCTCTCATTACAGAACTTACTTTTCAACCTTTTATCCATCATGGACAACCTCGCGGCCTTCTCTTATGTAATGTATGACATTTTTAATTTACTTGAAGGGCACGTTCTGCTAGAGACACTCAACTGTACTTCTTATTTCAACTTTTGTTCTGTAATCTTATTGTTTCTTTTGAATTTTTTTTTATATGTGTATTACGGCTGATAAAAACTCACGTTAGTGCTCGAAACGTTTCGCTCTGTATAATGCCTTAGCATATGTAATTTGCTTTTTAAATATAGTGAGTCGTCTATTTGTTCGGCTTGTTTTTGATCTTTTTTCTTTTTTTGTTGTTGTTAAACATAAGTCTGTAATAACTAAAAATTGTAAATAATTTTAATTTTACACACCTTACAAAATTGTAACTGCGTGGTGTAACAGACTATCTAGTCAATTTTGAAAATAGAAGAAAGATAGTAAAATAAAGTTTAAAAAGAATATTATTAAAAGAGATTATTAAATTATTTCTTCGAAAACGTGCAACATCCGTCGACTTTGTGCAAGACATATAATTTAAACAAAAAGAAAACTAACACAATTTGTAAAGAGCAATAAATATAACAATTTAATTTAATATCAAAAAATGAAGCATATCATTTGTTTTTTTTAAAAGAATTGGACATCGTTCGATATTTATTATTGCGGTTTATCACTTGCAACACAGAAGTGAACGAACCTAAAGCGGAATAGATCGTTCTTGCGAGAGACGCGTCGGTGTCGACCGTAAATTAGAAAGTTATTAACGCCTAATTGCATCCCGATTAATTCGCCCTTGTAACTAATGCGAGCGTCCCACACCGCAGGCGTTGAATAGTTACGTACCTATATAGCACCCGCGTTCTGGGAACGCGTGCACTGGTGTCAGTTGCTCCGTGAAATCCTCCATCAATCTACAAAATTATCTACCATATGGCACTCCGCGAGAAATTTTTCTCATTTTTTACCCTCCATACGCGTGCGATGTTTCCGGTTCTACAGTTAAAGGTACCAGGCGTGGCAATTTGTAATTCTTGCATAAGTAAATACTGTTGCGTAATTTATAAGAAAAAAAGAAAAGATTTTCTTATTGTTATCGTTACTCTAAAAAAAATTTTATTGCTCAGTAGCGTCCACTTCTCGCTCAAAGTTCGTTGGTTTTAATGTGTAATCGGTTGAGAGAGAATTTTAAAAAATAATACTGCGTTGTGTTTCGCGTCGCGTTGCACAGCAAAACAATTTGTGCGCGTTATCTAATTGTAAGTAAAAGTTTCTTTCTTAGTTCTTTTTTTTTTTTTTTTTTTTTCAGACCTTTTCGGAGAGGTTTTCTTTCGCGCGGTTCATTGATTCGCTCGTTGCATCAGGGTTGCATAAGCGCGACTGTTGCTGCCGCAGATGCAGCGATTTTTAGCCGCGTCGCGATCACACGATCCAGTAAATTTCGTTTCGATTTATTGCGGCAATTAAGGAGCCCACCCTCTCGAGGGGCGTTCTGTAACAAACGAATGACGTGTGCGGTAAGGATTGAAACGAAAGAGGCGGTCGTTGTAAAACGGTTAAATGCAATTATGCGCGTGTGCAGAACCTATATAGAATGCGCCGCGATGCGGTTCAAAGTTCATGTGTATACGTATGAATTATGCATTCGGTGCAGCGCCGGGGATAATCACTAGGTGCGTCATTATCTCGTGTGGGCTCCTGTTACCGTTCCCCAGCTGGCACGAAATCTCGCGGCGTTCGAGGAACATCGTCGAAAGAAAGAAAAAAACAACGAGTCGGCGCGCCGCTCGGACTAATCCACGCGATAAATCACGATGATCGTTGGATCTTTGAATTAGCGTAGAGCATTTGTCGGTCTCTCTCATCGCACGGACAGGTGCCATTATGCGATCACGTGTAAACTTTGCACGGGACGCTCCCGTGACGCTTACGACCGATGAAACGCGCACACATACCCGAAATTTTGCATTGAGTTCCGAATTTAATTATTTAATTATTTCAATTGTGTATATTCACAATTTTATATGTACAATTAAATTTAGTTTCGCTGAATATTAAAAAGAATATATTTCTTTTAATAAAAATACATTCTAATTAACTAAGATGCACTTTGGCCGTGTAATGTTCATAGAAAAATTAAAAGTTTATAAATTAATATAAATTAGAAGTGACTATATGACGGCGCAACAAAACTAGCTATTGTCCTGGGCACTTTGCTTTTGAAAACGCACGTCCATCCGGATCCTTTTATACGATAGTCTTCTTTGATCTTATATCTACCTGGTCCAGGAAGAAAGTCTCTTGATGGAAGTGGTCGTATAATTTTGACATTACTGTCGAAAGGATATTTTTTCAGCGAACTCGGTTTTCGTGGCGCACGAAGATAATAATGACCGGGACCTGGTTGATCGGGATCCTTGTAACACGTATTGATATCTTGTAACATTATTCTCGAGACCGGTTTCTTAATAAATCTGTAAAAACAAAAACAATTTTGTTTGTTTCGAAATAACTTGTTTGCAATTTCTTCTCATAGATTTATAGATTGAGAAAATACGTGTATATTGTTATTATCTTTTAAGTTTTTGTTCTAACTAATTTTAACATATACCTAGGATTGGTAGACCACTTTCCTTTGAAATAATTTGATTTGCTCGAAAGCTTCTCCATTTCGCTTGGCAATTTCTTTGGCCAATCTTCATAATCCTGTACTCTCGCGCGTGCCCAGTATCCTCTGATGGTACTCTCATCTCTCGGTCCTTGTAAATAAATATATTTTATATTTACTTATTACTTTCTTATAGCGCAGATAATATCACTTTGTTTTTTAGTTTTAACAAACGTATAATATACAAGGTTTAATAAAAAATATATGTAATATACATAAAATAAAAGTTTAAAACAAAAATTATTTACAGAAGAAATTTATTAAATAGGTATATGTACCAAAAATATATATTTAAAAATATTATTTTGTCACACCTGTGAAAAGATCGTAAGGTCCTCTTTTGCTTGTGACCTTTTCGAGGAAAGCCTGCATCGAGGTTGGATATTTTACGTTATATCTGTTAAGAAAAAATTCCTTTGTTAACTCTTTTAAATGATTTGAAATAATATGAGTGAGTGTATATAAAAATGATAAAAAATGACTTAAGAGAGAATAATAGACAGATATGCAAGTTATGTCGTCGATTCTTCCTTTCTTACCTGTTGCAAGCTAAAGACCAACTTTTTCTCGTTTCTCGAAATCTGGATGTTAAGCCGTCGAATTCAAAAGTAGGTACTTGAGAAAAACCTTTCAGTGCTTTCTGTTCCAAGTAGTAAAACGGATTATGCGTTCTTAACGTGTATCCTTAGAAAGAAAATAAAATGATAATGAAAGTTTTATATACAAAGAATTACGAAACATTAAGAGAAGATAATTACGTGAGAAATATTGAGTGTTCAATTTTTATAAATAATTTACAAACACTTTTTCTTCAATGTATACACAAAAATGCTGTATTGAAATAATTAATATTGATGTTTTTGATAATTAAAGAATAAATTTTATTGACCTGGACCGGGTGTGGTGGATTTATAAGCCGGTTCAAACCGCGGAACGGTGCCAAACTTAACGTCCTCTCGCGAAATTTTACAGGTAGCTTCCAAAATATTTTCTGGCCAACGAAGTATCTCGTGAGTTCCTGGCCCGAGTCCAGTTCTCATCAGAAATCTTTGGAACGCAATTTCTTTTTTTCCGACCAGACCGCCCATTGTGGCAGAAAAATCTTCTGCGTCTTGTTGTCTCTTCCAACTATGTTGTAGTTTTTTTTATTTTCTTTGTATCGGAATCTATGAAAAATCTTAGTTTGGAATAAATCGAGTTCGATGTCTAAACCTAATAGTTCCGGGTATGCGCTCAATTAGTCGAGGGTCGTAGGAACCCACGGGCGGTGATGCCGGAATCACTACCAGTTTTGGATGCAAATTTGTCGTGTCGCGTTGCTTCGTCCCGCTGTTAAACGGAGGATGTGGTTTTCTTATTCGTGGCACTAGACATTGACAACGCCACTTGCAGCAACAATGACACAAACGAAAGCTTTTGGCTTCGTACTTCGGTGGCATGTTTGCGTCTGAATCTTCTAAAAATAAAAACAATCGTTCAAATTTGTCTAACGTAAAACTGTGTTGTGTCTAAGCCGTGAAACAACGTGATATATTTGTTACACGATGTGACATTTCTTACAAAATAATATTATTTGTATATTCAAGAGGTTAAAATTAACGGCAACAAACTGAGTTTAAATTATAGCAATATTCAGATACGATTTGTAAGTTTTGTGTGATGTTTCATTCTTAAATTTACATTGTTGACATAAATAGAAAAAAGTTTTAAATCAAAAATTCACAATATAATTTACTGCAGAACACAAAATTTATCACATATAAGAAATGTATATAAATATAACGGTTTTTATAATTTATTGATCACATCACATCAGGAAAACAGAATACTGAATTAACGGTTATCGGTATACTTCAAAAGAAATTTCTTATCCTCATTTAACAAATCCAATTTCTTTGATATCTACTATAAATATCTTCTATATTGTATTATCTTACAAAAATTTAAAATACAGGTGTTTTAACACAGCAAATGCTACGAACAAATTAATTTTTAATTTGTGTTACGGATTTTTTTTATAATGTGCATTATACAACATAAATTATGCATTTAAGTGATCAATAAAAACATATATTATTGTATCTAATTCCGATCTGCAGTCGGACAGCATCTATTTTTTGATAATCATTCTCAACCGATTCTCATTCACTAAGCATCTGATAGCAACTTAGCGCGCGCAGGTGGCGCCTTGTTGCAGGAAATTGTTTACGAGGTCGTTCATTCTTTGTTAAAGATCTGCTCGTGAAGTCGTCCACTTAGTTGACATGTGAAAACGAGGGTGTTATCTCGGCGAGCAACCGGACAACGGCTGCTCACGCAGCCCGCTGCCGTTGCTTAAACAAATACGTTAATTCGCCATGACGTAACAACCAAGGCATTCTGACTTTTCACACACCGCAGTTGCGTCGTGGGCGCATGGAGCAACTGGAGCAATAATGCGCACTGCGTGAAAATACGGAGTTGTTGAAATAAATATGTGTTAAAAAGCGATTTTTTGTTCAAAGTTTTTTGTTTGTATCATCTGCCGTTTAACATACGAAAGACTGGTTGATGTAGAAAAATCAAGAGATGTTTATCACGTGATAGAAATTTAGTTGCTTAGTTTTGTATGTTAATTAAAATTTTGAGATATCAAATAAAACCCTCTCTCATACTTTTGCATAAAAAAAAAGTAATACAGAGATTTACAAGAGATATGTATACATTATTTATATAAACTGTATTTTTGAGTGAAAATTGGAGTCGTATGTATTTACAAAATTGTGTACAAAAGCACATAGTTTCACTGTTCTATGTTTTTTAATCTGTATACTTAACAAAAATTTTCAAGTGCCAATGCGGTGCAGCTACGTACACATACTGTTTGCTATATTAACGCTGTTATTCATAAAGAGCAGCATTGTATATTTGGCAAAAAATATTGCGTTTGTTGTTCATGAGCAGTAAAATTTCAAAAAAAAGTATTCCTCTCTCTTCTGTCTATTCTCAACGTATTAATTGAACACAATGGCTGTACTGAAGATGATAAGACGTGCTATGTGCAAAAATACTGCAACATGTGGATCAAAATTCGTGGGGATCCTGGGACCTCTGACAATCCCACCGCTGCAAATCGCAACTTTGTATTATTTCTGGCAAGAGTATTCAAGAGTCGTGGACAAGCGGTATTGCTCCTGTTCGTGTTGGGACACCGTTTTTAAAGGTAAGATCAGCAAACAAAGTAATTTAAATGTTCTACAAAATTGTAAAATTGTCAATAAAAGATCTGCGAGACGTCTTACCGGATCATTGAAATTTCTGTTGCAGGCTCATACGAATCTGGCATTGCTCCCTACAAACACATGTACTTCAACGCCACGAGTAACATGCTGAAAATATGGATGTTGATTGTCGTCGGTATAATCGCGCTTTACGAAACGATGAAGCATCTGACGAGGTTAGCGATCAAACAGAGACTCAGACAGTCAATGATGCTCCTCTTTTCGACCGCACTGTTCTCCCATTATTACTCGTGGTGGGTTTATATTAATTACTGGAACGACGACTTCTACTCCCAGTGGTACCATCAGTTGTTCTTTACTATCACCGAATTGATATCCACCGCCTGGGTCATTCATCTGGCGGACAGAAAGAACCCCATAACTCACAGGAAGGTGTTTGGGATAGTCGCGATAGCTGTTCTGCATATTACGGCTGGTGGATGGGATCAATTCTTTGTGAATGTCGTCAAGGGAGAAGGTCATGCGCATCAGGTAAGCATTCGCAAACATATAAATATAGGAGATAGCGACGTTTCCCTCTTTTAATTCGTCTGTTTAATTTACACAAAGGTTATACGCGATCTGGGGTTCATGATACCGGATATCCTCCACGTTGCCGTTCCGTTGTGGCTGATTAAATGTGAGAGCGCTTATACTATCCATCTTCCTAATTCACTAGCGTACACGTCAAGTATTGTAGCAATTGGATTATGCATTTGGTCATTTTTACTGTAACTCGATAATATTGTTGGGAGAAGCATAATGTAAGATTAACCCGGTTTTTCTAACACGAGGATGACCCTTCCGTTCTTGGTCGTGTTCTTCCTCGATGCGAAACTCCGCAAAATGTGAAACTCGGTCTAACGCAAAACGCCAAAGTTACTTCGTCCGTAGGAAAAACTGTATAAATTTTATTGATATCACACAGATACATTCTACAAGAAAAAAAAACCATGCGTTGTGATATATTATCATTACTGAAAGACAAATGCTTCGTGCAAGAGCATTTTGAATAAACGCAATTTGCTTGTCATTTTTTTTTTTTATCGAGTTACCACATCTTCGTTCAACTTCGTACCTTATTATTTTGTTTTTGTACATAAACATGTTTATATTATTTTATTTTTATATTTTATTTATAAAATATTTGTAATATAATTTATAAGTCTGCAATGTTTTCTTCTCGAGCATATTTTGTGTAAAATTTTTACGAGATGAGCATAAAGGAGGGAAACTGTGTTAAGAGTACAAGATTTTGTTCATTGTGTTAAAATTATTGTATAAACTAAGTTACAAAGACTGAGGACTTGAGGAGATTACGAGCGATAAAACATCTCTCTCAAGTTACTCTAAAGTCCAAACAAATTTATTATTACATTAAGTGCGAACTCTCAAACATATCACGTAGGTTTATAGTTTGTACAAATATGACGTTATATTATGACGACTCGCAAGATTGTACAATTTGCAGGCAAAATGCTAACCAAAAATAGAGTGTTCTCATACAAGTTATAATATGCTTTCGAAGTGCCTACACGTAACATATATCATTTACATACTTATTTCTTGTTAAATAAGCCGATAACTAATTGCAAAACAAAACCCGGATTTTGCGTAATTCTAATAAACAGCAAAAGCAATTGTTCTCGTTATTTCAGAATAATGTATTTTATATTTGAAACAAATTACGTAATTTAATAATAATATAATATATCGATTTGCGAACAATATATTTGCAAACTAGTTTTTTATCGTCATATAATGTAATATTAACTTATTGATCTCTTACCTCTAATCTGGTATATATAATTATAAGCTTATATTTTTATTAATAGACTCTTTAACGCGGTTTATATGCGATATTATTTATGCGGCAGAATTACATATCTTATAGGTATTCTAGATAAAAACTGCGAAAAATAATTTAACAAAGAAATTTAACTAAGAAATGGATAAAAAATGAAGAAACACAAAAAGCAGCTTACATTTTATCAAAACCGATTTTGTTATATATTGTTATCTATTTAAAAAAGATTTATTATAGAAAATATACACAATATATCGTAGGACATATAGTGTGACAAAGCCATTTCCGAAAAGTATTTGAATAGTCATATGCATTACGTCATTTTATATGATTAGGAATATTATAACATAATTGCAGCATGGATCTGACAAAAAAAAGATTAAAAAAAAAAAATCTTGTTTCGCAAAAGAAAAAGACAAAATAGTGCGTTACAATATGTAGAATATTAAATGGTGGTTCTAACGACCGCAAAATTTGCGAATTGAATTCCGATATTTTATTAATTGTATAAAAGAGAAATATATACAATTATCCGTGTATATATATATATTGAAACAACTTTGATCAGAAAAACAAAATATGTAGATAGTCCGATAATGCAATACAATAAAAAACCGGCCTATATAAATTTCCAATATCACGTGTGTATTATTAATTTAATTATATTTAACGTCTTCAACTGCACGTATCGTTCTGCGGATTCTCGAATTGCTGTCGTCAGATCGAATTATTCGGCAAGACGCACGAAGTTTTATTATACATGAGAGAGAGAAGACGACCCGGACGCGAAATATCCCGGGGAAACGTAAAAAGAAAAGAGAGAAAGTCTTTCCGTGTCCTCCTGTATACTGCATGTACATATATGGCTGTGTGGCTATAGTGCATATTGCTCCCCGTAGACACCGTCGTCGTCTTCGACTTCATCTTCTTTCCGCGTGCCGACGGTACCAACGTGAGCACTCACATCTGTTTCACACACGTACACACGCGACACGCACACAGTTTCACCTTTCGTCCACATACGCACGCATTACATTGCATCTCACACCACGCGACCGCTGCACCTCGCTGCATATTATACCCTTCTAAAAGCCGCGCATGACCGACGAAAAGTCTCACGATTGTGAGGACACCTTTAACCCCCGCGTCTGTGCGAGGGGGGGACCAAAGCGCAGGCCTGGAATCGATCCTCCACCCTCTCCCCCTACCCCGGGAGAACGCAACGCGTCCGCGAAGAACAACCCCCGGCCGACGACTCTGTTGTCGACCCAACAACAGTTCAAAACCACCCCGAAGTATTCACGTTGCAACATGGCGTTGGATTTCGCAGCCACGTACAAGGTTCTGGTGCTGGGCGACTCGAACGTCGGCAAGACCTGCATCGTGCACCGCTACTGCGACGAACGGTACTACGACACGTACATCTCGACAATAGGTGAGAAACACAAATAAATCTGCGTGACGTATACCGGATATTCCGTTTTACCTGTGGCTGACAGCTACCCCAAGTAGTGTGCTAAATAATAAATCAAATCGTTCCGATAGCTCATTGTTCAAATGATCACACGTACAACGCATCTTCGGTGCCAGTTGGGTTTGCTTTGTGACAACTTTTTTTTAATAGTTTTTTTCTAAAACAATTAATCGCCACGTTTTATTTTCTTCACAAACACAACGAACGCGTGTATCGTTCCGTATCGACGACTAGTTAATTAACCCTTTGTTGCTGCTGCGAGATGAGATCATGTTTGTCCGAGCATAAATCTCGTTTATCGTCAAAAGAAATGCCAGAAGCAATCTTCAGTTTAGTTTTTAAATATTGTGTTTGATGAGAATATCTAGTTTATTAATTGAAAATAATTCTTTTTTAACATAATGCACATACGTGTCGCTTAATTTGTTAATATAAAAATTGCTTATACCGCGAGAAAATTATTTGACTTTCAGATATACTTGTTGCCATAGTTATTTAATTAATTATGTATTTCACAAAATGTGTGTTGAGCATTGATAGCATCGATCAGCTGATTATTGGTTGCATCCGCCCCAGAGTCTCGGGTTTCGCTGTGTACAACGTTTCAATTTTAAATTTAGCCGAACTACTCTTATACGCGACACTTTTCCCGATATAAATTGCCGTATTTTATATCGTATCGAGGAAACACATTTTTGCAAACGTGTAGAAATAAATATTTTATAGTCTCATTTCGAGTGTCGTTTGTTTCCCGTGTGTGTTATCGAAGTAACTCTTGATTTTCCATATGGATAATACGTAATAATTTTAATTGTATCCGGTGTGAGAATACACGAAACTTTTGCGTGCAAATTATCGCACCAGTTACGTAATAATTAGCGATAGTTGCGTGACAGTTCGCACAAACGTAAACAAAGTAATGTACACTCTCAGGCGCAATTTACTTAAGTATTATGACATTTACTTAATTTTTTGTATTAATTTGAAAGATGTAAGCATTCACATTAGACGTAAAAAAACAAAAAAAAAATCAAAACCAAATGTGTCTGTGCAGGTATCGATTTCAAACAGAAGATTATTAACTTAGACGGGACACCGATTAAATTGCAAATTTGGTGAGTAATATTTAAAAATTTCTTCGAGTATTCGATAAACAAATGATCTCGATTAATTCCGATAAAGAGTCACGTTGGAAAATTTAACGATAGAAGAAAATTCTGAGAAAAGTCTTTTTTCCATAAAAAAAAAAAAACACAGTTTGAATGTAAAATAATAGTTTTCGTACCAAAAAAAAAAAAAAGAAAGAAAACGAAGAGATATAGCGTGGCAGGAAATATATCTGTGTATCTTTAAAGGGATACCGCCGGCCAGGAAAGATTTCGAACTTTAACAACGGCGTACTATCGCGGTGCCATGGGTATCCTTTTGATGTACGATGTCACTAGTTTGGAGAGTTTCAACCATCTGTCTTACTGGCTGCGAAATATTCAAGAAGTAAGATTGAAGTCGATTCTAAAGATAGAATGTTATGAACTGGAAAAAGATCGCGTTCATGTACCTATATAAATTCTTAAGTGGCCGCGTTTAAAAAGACACTGCTCGGAAAAGGATTTTAAATTTTAACAAAGTGTTTAACGGAAGTCTCTCTCTCTCTCTCTCTCTCTCTCTCTCTCTCTCTCTCTCTCTCTCTCTCTCTCTCTCTCTCTCTCTTTCTCTCTAGTTGATCGTCGAAAGTTAAACATTTTAATCGTTGAAGAAAGTGTTGGCAAGGGAACGTTTAAAAAATTTATTTATATCTACGTGAAAACCGAAACGCGGCCGTTTAAGCGTTATTAAATTCTAGCGTTTAATAAATTGAAGAATTAGTTTTAAGTTTTTTTCTGCAAACTTCTCCTCTTTGTTTCCCGTAAATTCAAGGTTACATTGTGAAAAATTTACTTCGCCTACGCACGGACGGCTATTGATTTTGCAAAGAGAAACGTTTTTCCGCGACCGACCGGCTCGAAGTCGGTATATGATTAATATATGTATACACGACAGCGTGAATCACGAGCAATTCCACCGTTTTGCATTGACAGAATGCGTCACCAGATGTAGTAAAAGTTTTGGCAGCGAATAAATGCGACGCTACCGCGCATCGCGCTGTCGACGCCGAGAGAGGTCAGAAAATCGCGGAGAACTTCGACATGCCCTTCTTCGAGGTGTCGTGCAAGGAGAACATCAACATCGAGGAAGCTTTTCTCACTCTAGCCAGAAGGATACGGGAACAACGGGGTCGTCGAGTAAGACTCATTCCCGTTTACTTTGTTGTTACAAAAAACATCTCTATTATATATTTTTCTCGAAAAATATATCCGTCTATTGGAAATAATTCCAACCGTTACACGATTTAAAAAATAATTTATACACGTTCTGATCTTTTTTTTAAAAGTTCAAAAAAAAAATTGGAAGAAATTCTCTAACAGAATTTTTCTTCTATTCTATTTCCTCCTTTGATTTTTTTTTATTCCGTGAGTTATTAAACATGACCGAACTTTCTCTCAGGTATGACAAAAAATTCTTGCAGGCCAGTTTGTTCGAAGCTTCCGAGAGGGAAGGCGCGGACAGTATAATCAAGGCGCAGTCACCGTCTCAGCAGGGTGACGCCTGGAGATGCACCTGTTAATTCGCATTCTCATCGGAGGTCTATCCGGCTGGTTGGACGGCGGTCATGTATCAGCTCCAGGCACAGAGGATTTCGTCTATTTATATGCACGGGGGAAGAAGACGCGCTCGTTTCTATTACCTGTACATACACACCGCGACCGGGAGTAAGCGGTCGTCGAGCGGAAAAATCGACCTGGACACGCGAGAGGTGTTCGAATTACGTGGCGAAGGTGGCACGGGGCAAGTATTCACCACACTAGTACACCATCTGCAATAATCGCAACGGAGATGTTGTTTTAGATATATATTATCTCGTAAACCCTGCACTCTCTGTCACACGCGAGAGCCGAACAGTGAGGACACGTGGCGTGATGGTGTTAACATAACGCGAGACGACGTGAAGATAATATTCCACCATGAATCAAATGGTACATATATATATATACGTGTGTGTGTGTGTGTGTGTGTGCACGATCGTAAACACGAGACGAAACATAACGTTCGCTCATAAACGGAGCAGCAAGGCTCTCGCTTTTTGATAATCCGGAAACACACGTACACGCATTAAAGCTCGCGAACTATGTTTCGGAAAAAATTTATCGCGGAACTTATCTTATGATATGCGATTATATATACCTACGTCGTAGATATGTACTTCATAGAAATTCGAGTCACGCACGTGCGAGTGTAGAGTCGGCAAAAAATTATTGCCGCGAGATAATCGAAACGCCTGAGAAAACGCGTCGTCGCGCGAGAAACGTAGATACGTTCAATTGTTAGGCCCCGGTTTCATCGGTGTCGGTTTACTTGCAAAAGATGAATCGATGACGAAGTTTTTGACGCGTGAAAACGCATGACGCGCAAGCGAAGGAAATTCAGTTCGGTTTTCTCAGAAAAGGAAGGAACTGTTACTGGGGTGACGGAGAGTCGGCGAAAGGAATCGCGAGATTTTGGATTTTCGTACAATTCTCATGTAATCTCGTCGATGTTAGTCTGCCAGACGCAGTCATTGGATTATTATAGGCAGTTTAAAAAAAAAAAAAAAACGTGCAGTTAGATTCGCTTGAAGTATTTGATAAGGCCTAACTAACTAAAAACAAAAAAAAACAAAAAAAACCAAAAAAAAAAAGAAACATCCTCTCGATGCTAATGAAGCGACACTTTTTCGCAGTAATTTGACGTATTACTATATTAATTAGTATGTCTACGCGAGAAAGACATCATCAAGCGCATTGTGATTTTCGTCTGAAAACGACATTATACTATTACGAGACTTGCGATTTGTCATCTATGTCTCTTAACGAGGACCAGGGAGGCTCTTCCCGTATGGAAGAGCTTGCGCGATTAGCTGTTACACGTCGGAATTATTTGATGCACAGATGCCAATGTGTGTGTGCGCGTGTTGTTTTTGAAATGTAGAGGATTCGGGACAAGTGAAATTCGCGCGTGAAAACCAAAATATCAGAATGAGTAATCGAATAAAGTTTAAAATACATTTTATTCAATTAAATTAAATCAAATTTTAAATATTAAATTAATTTTTATTCCAAGATAAAAATACGGAAACGTGTTATCTGTCATAAATCTAAATTTAACTCAAATATATCGACAAAGGAATTTGCTATATTTATTGTGACACGCAGAGCTTTTTTGAAAGAAATGAAAGCGTTAATTAAATTTTTCTTCTAATTGAAAGAAAGGAAGTAACACAAATCGTATTTTTAAAAGGCTTTGATATTTATTGTCAGAGAAAAACTGATATTTTTTCGTTTAAGAAAAAAAAACAAAAACGATATTTTAAGTTGAAATTAAATTTCGAAAAAACAGAGGCCAAATCGACAAACGCTTGACATTTGTGTATCAAACTTTTCATATCGATACGTACACGTGATAATAATCCACGCTTAAATTAATTGCGCTTCGAGAGAATCGTAATGGAAACACTTTCGTCTGTTTTTTCATAATCGATGAACGGCGTTATACGGCAATGCATTCTGCCGCGGGATGTCTCAGAAACGTTGTTTCGTGAAAAAAAAAAAAAAAAAAAAAATAGGAGCACTTAATGCGTTCTTGCATTTTTCATGGGCCATATTTGCGGTCGTGTAGACCGCGAGAAATTAGCTGCCATACCTATAACACGCTGCAACACGTGCACGTTTTTTAACGCAGGGTGTGTAAATTATTCGAGAGATCGAGTCTTTTTAATTTCAAAAAGTGTGTGTTGAGAGAGCTTTTTTATACGATACGGGATCGAGTTCTTGATCGGTCATCGAGTATATATCTCGATGTTATATAATAAAGACACTTTTCAAACGTGCGGCGCTTTTACTTGCAAGACGAATTTTTTTTTCAATTCAACTTGCGCCACGTACAGCAAACGGGACTGGAAGATGAATCGAACGCACATTTGTGAGAAATATATTGCAACCACTTGCGCACGTACAAGATTGACTGTTGTTTTTTTTTAACAACACAAAAAGAGTAAAACGAGCGAACAATTAAGTTTTTAAATTTGCGATATTCGATTTAACTTTCAATCCTACGTTTTTTTTTACGAGTCGTTGTCACATGTTGCAAGAAATATTTTATAATTGTTTAAAGTTATATGTATATATATATCTCAGCATATATTTATTATAATCTATACAAAAGCGCACAACCACTTTTTGTGTCACAATCATCGGAAGAACAAATCGTCATCATCGCCCTTTCGACGAGAGAGACCCCACTTTCACACGTTCGTATAATTCTCGTTTACGCTGGCAGAAACACAAAAAGCCTTTATTGTGCCTATCAACTATAAAAAAAAAAAAGATTAAAGATGAAGCGCGAGAACACTAAAACAAAAAAAAAGAAAAAAAAAGAAAAGAGAAAGACGTGCGTAAGAGATACGTGCTGCACGAGATATCGTGACGAGTCGCTTTGTAAATCGATCGGAGTGAACTCTGAATGTGTGGAGAGAGAGAGAGAGAGAGAGAGAGAGAGAGAGAGAGAGAGAGAGAGAGAAGTAACTGTAACGCGCGCGATGCTCGATTGAAGTTTCCAATTAAAATTTCACTTCAAGCAACTTTCCGGAGGGCAACTTCTTCGCACTCTCGGAATCACGCGAGTAATCGACGGATCTACATTAGAAGAGATATATATTCTAAATTTCTTTTTTCTCTCCTCGCGACGAAAACAACAATATAAAATATCTCGGTATTCACCGCTGTGATTTCTGATTTGCGTACACAATCGTCACATACACAAGCACAATCGTCAGATCCTGTGTAAACCGCAATGTGTAAATCGCATTGCGAGTGGCAATCTTGCGAGTTTACCGCGTCTAGCAGAAAACTTCGCGAAAATTCAGTTCGCGCTTTTCGCTTACGCTTTGCTTCGGTGCGGTCGCGAAAGCGAAGTTCACATCGCGACACAATCGAGTCGAAAGAGCGCATGCACTCGACGGAAACCGCGTTATACATCTGTCGCGCAATCGATCGACATCGCAAAGACGAGGATGCCGACGAAACGAGATCATTCTGCAAATCGCGCAACGGATTTTTTTTTTTTTTTTTAATAGATTAGTGATCGACAACGCAACACGATGTTTGTTTTTTTTTTCAGCCGCAATCATATCCTATAAACATAATAGTTTACGACAAATAGGCTTTGTACCATTTGTGCAAGATGATATTATAAAAATATACATTATATATATATACATATATATATATATATATATACACATATATTATATATATACACACATGATACGATGGTATATATATATTTGTTGCTTTTGTATATTTATAAATCGCGGCGTATTTGTATAAAATACATTACGGAATTCGATTTGTCTCGTCTGCTAAGCAACCTGCGCGATCTTTAATTAGCGCGGGGTTTCCCAGACTTAAAATAAAAGAGAGAGAGCATTTGTGTAATAATTTCTATATCGCTTGCCCGTTTTACCAAAAAAAACTGCAACACCGCACACTCATGTACAACGAAACTGAAATATTTCCACAATAAATTCTAAATAAAATGTGATTTAAAAAAAAAAAAAAATGTAAAAGTGAAAAATGTAAAGTGTTAAAATATAAAGTGTTAAAAATCGAGAGGAAGAGAGAGAAAGAGAGGTGTAGCTTATCAGAGAAGAGATATACAATATAAGAAATTTGATAACTTTAATCGAATCTAATTACTACTGCTTCAATTACCGAGTTTTGCGAGCGAGGTAACAATTTTTCAAGTTTGGGAAACCTTGAATTAGCGGAGATCAGATGCGATTACGGAGAAATCGGAGTATCTCTCTATTCTCGATCTAGGACTCTCTTTAGATGCGCGCGTGATTTGTCAGAACTATCGTTAAGTTTTATTTCGCGGTGTGGTTTGAGAGCGAGGAGAAGCACCTGTATTGGCAATTTTCTTGGGGAAAAAAAAAAAAAAAAACTAAATTTCTCTAATCGCGAAGTTGTTTGCGAGAAAAAGAGAGAAAATCGCGTTGAGGATTTCTGACGTAAACTCGATTGCAGTAAATTCAGCGCGACACAAATAGCGGTTAACGAAGTCGATTGCTATGCAAAATGCGGGTGCTTGTTTCTCGCGGGAAAAAAATTGAGAAAAATAAGAAAAAAAAAAAAGAAAAAGAAGTCAATTTGTGCAACACGGCGTCGCCCACGTGGACGGTAGGAGTCGCTTGTATAAATTTTTTTTCTTTTTTTTTTTTTAAAGAACGCTGGCTCGTTTACCTTCATCGAAGTGCTTGATTTCTCACCCGAAGCTGGTCTTCGGCTGAAGAGTCTTTCAGAAGAGCAGTTTTTATACGACTTAGTTGAGCCTGCCACGTATGTGCGCGCGCGTGCAGCGCCGTAACTAGCGTTTTTTTGTTTTGTGTCACAAGTGTGTGTACAGGCAGTGCTTTACTATAATTAGTCCCACACTCTGTCCTTGGAATTCCACATAACAATGAAGGCGAATGACGAATTGTCAGGATCACGTTTGCGCGGGAATCCTTTCACCTTGTATATTCGCAAAGATTTTCATACTTAGATCTATAGATCATCGAGATTTTCGGAGCTTCTCCATAAATTGGCTAAAATATTCGCTCTTGTGTTTTTTTTTTTTCGTGTGAATCGAAGATATTATAAAATAATTCACACATTCATTCCGCTTCGCGAGATTTCTTTTTTTTTTTTTTATTTTATGTTCTAGTTACGGCTCTGCGAATTCTCTCACGTAGCTCTCGAATTTTCAACGATCTTGCGATTTTCAACGATATGATGAAAGTTTCTCGACAGGTATTAGCTATGTTTTTGTTACGAATCCTGTTGCAATATATAGAAATAAAAAATAGAACAGCTCGATCGGGCGAAATAGTTTCGCCAACGTGACATTTTGTTTTTATGCGAAAAACAAAATTTAATTTTTCTAAGATGCAACGTTATCTGAAAATGTTTTTACTTAATTAACTAGTAGTTCAGCTATCTGCTATCTTTAAACGTAATTAAATTTAATTCTTTTTATGTAATACAATAGTGCAGAAACACTTTCTCTAAATTGCAATTGCAAAATGAAACGTTTTGCCCGATTAGCCGAAGAAATAATTGAGAAGATGTTAAATATACGATATAACGACAGCTTTTACAACGTTTCATTTGTCATTACGTCACCACCTCTCACCATCGACAAAGTGCATCATATTACGTAATTTTCTTCGATCTTCGCGATCAATTATCTGAATGTATAAGTGTATAAGTTTTTACGTTCGTAGAAACAAACTTGTTCAACTCGATGTCTGAATCAATAATAAATAAAAATACACACTTTTTACTTACGACTAGTCTTTTCTTCTTTCCCCCGTAACAGAATCGTACACAACGATTAAGCGAGCGTTGCGGCGTCAAATTGCCGAAAATTAAATCAAAATTTTTTGCGATTCATGAATAATAAAATATAATCAGTCGGTAAAGAAACATCTGGATTAGTCATGCTTGAGGAAAACAAGAAAGTGAAGCTTTGTTCGCTAGCATGACAATATATGCTTCACAAGTGTGTCAAATGAATTGCTTAACTGCGCGGCACACATGTTGCGCGGCACGATGTGGCGAAGCACTTCAATATTCGTCGCGCGCGTTGCCAATACGTGATAGTCTTCAGCGATAAGACGCGAGCGATTACCGGAGTGAATCAGCGACTTGAAAATAGAGGACAACGCGCACCGTATTGCTCCGTTGCCGAGGTTCTCGACGTTCGAATCGTCGATACCTACACACAACCTACCTAACGCACAAGGAAGCGCGTCCGTTGACAGGTGCGTACGCTCATTGTGTCGTCGGTAGTTTTTCATCTTCAGAATCCGAAACAAGCTCAACGAGTTTTTCGAATTCGCATCGTCAGTCGAAGTTTAAAACTGACACGCGTCAGCGGATTGTCACGTTCGATAATTGAGTTTCCCTCCGTGATACGTGTTGAAATGTGTCAGCAAGTCGTGCCACATTTGACAGTCAGAGCTCCGCAATTGTATTAACAATCGAAATACAATAAATGGCAGATTGTATCAGAACAAATCCGTACGAGTTTTTACGTGACGTTGTACAATAAGATCTCGAAAGACACAATCGATCTGAACAGATGACGGGTGAGTTGGTCTTTGTTGTTCTTCGTTAATATTTTTTTAGATAAAGTTCTGCAAACAAAAAAAAATGTCTGTGTAAGAAAAAACAAAAAAAAATGTAGTTTCGATACTTTTTGGGTCATTGAACTAAACTTTCTTTTGATGATGAAAAGAAAGAAAGAACACGGTGTAGACAAAATAGCGGTATCTGTACGCATCGTTGATTTGTGAGACACGTGCGCTTCACGGCGCGTGATGACTCAGATTGTGACATACGACAACGTACCCATTGATGCAAATGCGAGAGTGAATCACTTAGATGCGCGACACGCATCTTGCGTTCTATAGTGGCGCTTGAATGGAAAGCGCAGTTCTGTCACGCTCCTTTTATTTAACAAGATGCCGGTATTTGAAATAAATGAGAATAATAAAGATATTTGAAAATCTCAGTTTTAAAGCAAAAAATAAAATTTACTTGAAAAAAATCGAAATCGAATTCGAATTCAATTTGATTTAAAAAATTCAATCGCGTTTATTTTCAAACGTAAAAAAAAATACAATCAAATTTATAAAAAAGACTTACAAAAAAAAAAAAATTACAATTTCATATCCATATGTCACGTCGTTCAACCGAACACGGCGGCAACAACTGAAAACGATTCTTTGAACGACAAGTTTACAGTTTTTTTGACAGGTGGCACGGGTGTCATTTTGTTGTCGTAAAAGTTTACAACTCAAAGTTCAAACTTACTGACTTTCTTCTGATTGGTTCGCTTTTGTATTCGACAAATTGTTGGTCAAAGAAGCACCCGACACGATTTTTCGACATCGCAAATCCGAATCTATTATTTAAAACAAATTTTTTCGTCGTGCACCTGTCGTTTGAAGTTCGTGCCGCCGCCATATTTGGTCTAGAATTTCAGTAACCAGCCTCGTGTTGAAGATTTCTAGTGACTAGTGACCTGAGTTCGGAGGGTCCGCCGAGATCTTCGGAGCTGCAAGATGGCCGCGGTGACAGATACGAGGAGCTGTCAACTGTACCCGGGATCCGCCTAAAATCGAAAACCACGCGGCAGGCCATTTCGAAGCCGCGCGTCGCGTCTCGTTGTACGCGTTGCTGTTAAATCGCGTTGCGATGTGCACGCATGTGAGTCCGCTCCGGACCGTTAGCACAGAAACGCACCGAGACAGCCTAGGAACGCGCGAGCGTTTGCCGCGAACGCACGTCACATCGTAACTCGCGTACGTACAGGCGTTACGATACGTTCGCTTGCGTGCGACCTGTTTTTTTTTTAAAAAACGTGAACTCTCTCACTGTTTCTCCGGCTTTCGCGAGTATCCGTTCTCGCGTCAATCGTATCGGCATATTTAATCGCCGAGATAATCGAACGAGTTCGAACCGATCGAACTCGCCGCCTCGTTGTCGCATGGTAAGACGAACGTGCCGCTTTTTCGCAGATACAATTCGTGCCCAAGTTGACGCCGTTTTCGAGTATGGAGGCGATAGTGGAATATAATTATGTGGCGCAAGAGGATGACGAGTTGACGCTGAGAAAAGGTGACATCATCACCGGGATTAAGGTGATGCTCGGCGGATGGTGGGAGGGTACTCTGAGAGACAAGCGTGGCATGTTTCCCGATAACTTCGTCAAGGTATTAAACACACAAAGAGCATTCGTCATATCATTCATCATCTGTGCTTGTTTTCATTTTGTTTTATCATAATCATCAACATGTTTGCTTACTACAACAGGTATTGGATACTTCGACAACCGGCAACGGAAGTAGCGGAGGCAGCAACAGCGACACTCTAAACAGCACAAAGTCTGACGAAGTTACCTTGAGAAATGGATCCGGCAGACGTTTCTGCAAAGTTCTCTTTAGCTATGATCCTTGTAACGAGGACGAATTGACTTTGGTGCCACAAGACTCGATAGAGTTCCTGGGAGAAGTTGAGGAGGGATGGTGGAGAGGCCGTCTCAGAGGCAGAGTCGGAGTGTTTCCCTCGAACTTCGTCACTGCTCCCGCACCCGAGGAACAAGAGAGGCACAAAGATCGTGAAAAGAAGGAAATATGTAGAGTACTTTTCCCTTACGAGGCTGCTAATGAGGACGAGCTCACCCTAGTCGAGGGGGATATAATTACACTTCTGTCCAGAGACGCGCCAGACAAGGTTCAAACTAAATCTGTTCGGCATCATATAAATATTAAGTGAAAATTAAATCATAATTTTAGAGACTTTACGTGAAAGTAGATCAAATTGTTAACTGCCGCATATAAATTGACTATATTATTAATTTAATACACGGAAAATGTTAATACTGGCAACGTCTAAGTTGGAAATCGAAAAAAACTTGAGTCTTTCTGCGGACGACTGCTTTTCATTGATAATAAAGTTTGACAAACACACATTTCTAACATTCGTATAATGATCTGACTCAGGGTTGGTGGAAAGGAGAATTAAGGGGACAAGTAGGTCTGTTTCCTGACAATTTCGTCGAAGTGATTGGCGTGAAGAACGAAAACCAGGATCAAGATTCCCAGTGGCACGAAGTAACGTCGGTCAGCGGCAAATCGAGCATTAGACATTCCCATCAAGTGAAGAAGAGCGAGAAGGCGCACGTTAGAAAAAGTCTCGACACCAGGAATGTACATTCGAGTAATATATCGGGTAATTTATATTTTGTCATATTCGCGGGTGAGGCAACGATATATTCTCTCGTATATAATTGCGACGCGCGATACAAATTTTTTTGCCCCGACAGATCACTTTCCCACCATAGACACCACGAAAAAAGGCCTATCTACCACATCGTCCACTTCGGCGTCATTGTCGTCCATCGGCAGTGGAAGCGGCGATAAGAAGGCGATTGGCAGCCACTCAATTATATCGAGCCTAAAACGTCTCGTGAGCGATGTGGGAAACAATAACGGTATCAACAACGTCACGAGTGTCACGTCGGAGTGTCGCGAGGAATTAGACGGCGTGGAGCGAGGGGAGGGTGCGCCTCTTTCGCATCTGACGGCTTCTCGCGCCAAGGCGCCCCGACGACGTCCACCGTCGTCGCAACATCTGCGCCATCACGCCACAGGATCCGCCAATATAAGCGCGTCCCCGACGCTGCCTACTGTTCCCAGCACTCTTTTGGTATATTTAAACAAAAAATTGTCAATTTTATAATTTTAATTATTAATTTTTGTATGCGCGCGCGCGTGCGCGATTTAAAAGTCCAAATTTCTTCGGCGTTCTGTAGGAAGATAATTTGTCTAACGGACGCACCGACACCGCGCTGGAGCAGATACCGGATGAAGAGACGGACGGACTCGCGGCGAAAGCGAGGAGGAAAGCACCTTGGGTAACGTATCGCTGTGTTCGAGATAAAAACAACACGAGATTGCTATTAATCTTATCGTTATTAATATTGTCGTTAATGTGTCTGCAGGTGGAAGAATTGAAGATGAATCAGATGGAGAGGAGAAAGACCGCCGCCGACCGAGGCGATAAACCGGAGGTTGCCAAGAAGGAACGAAGTTTTCCACGGTATGTTTCAATCCACTTTTTGACGAAAATTAAAAAAGCACAGATTGTTCACATTTTATGAATATGCATGACATGCTGTAATTTTATCGGTCGATAGGTTAATGACGCAAGGCAACGTCGCGGATTCCGCCAACAAGCCGGACGCTACCGATAACGACGATAGCAAACAAAAAGATAAGAGCCCGAGAGCCGATACGAGCCCCCACGCTGATCACAGTCCGGGCGCGTCCGGACAACCTGCCTACGTTCCATATGCTCTCTACAGCAAACTGTTGGAAAGGGTGAGTATTTATCGCGATAATCCGCACAGATAAGCAATTTTTCATTTCGGCACATTGCGTAATACGTGCGCACACGCTATATTAATTTGAATTGCTTCAAAACAAGGTCGCGGCGTTAGAGGAAAAAGTGGAAGAGCTCAACGAGCGAGTCATCGAGCTCCGAACGCAAAGATTAACAACATAAGCGGCATAATAAGGAAGAAGAATTTGATTAGAGGCGTCTGTCTGTGTGGAGGCCGACATTTTACACCACGGTGTTGTTTTTCTCATTGCGTCACCAATGAGAAATCGAGAACTAACTAATACCGCTGCTATATATACATAGCATGTATAACGTTTATTGCTACTACCGTTGTTACATATACATATATTTATTCATTTGGTAGCATTCGTTTATTGTTTGCACCACGTCGAGACGCAGTAGTTCGATGAGCTGATTAAGGCTGGTTGAAAAACAACAAAACGCAACATTCCATATGTATGTTACGACGACATTCTACGCTTGTCACTACGAGTTTCCTCCTCCTCACTTGGTCTGCAATGTTTCGAAACAGATCTCATTTGTGTGTGACTGCCGTACATATACTTTCACATCATCGGTCTCGATATGTATAATCGTATATATTATATATATACTTGGTTTTACGGGATGTCGCTACGCGTTTGTCAGCCGCGAACACACACACACACACACAGCAGCTTTAAAAAGAAAAAAAAACAAATTCCCTCCTTCGTCTCTATATAAAATTCATTCCTTTCAATTCGAACTCACAACACATATCACACAACTTTGTAAGACACAAAAATCGTCGAATGTATATTTGCACATACGTTAGATTGTTGAACGACGAAAAACTTCCTCTATGTGTCAAGTACCATGAAAAAAAAAAAAAAAAATCTCTCTTGCGACTTGAAGTTCCGAAAAGAAAGAAAATAGAAAGAAAAATCTAGCGCAAGTGTCCTTTCAGGTGGGTGCCCGTGTTTTTCTTTTGTATTTTGTGTCTTTTTTNTTTTTTTTTTTTTTTTTTTACATTTGTTGTCTTACGTTACTTATTCTGTTTTACGTGTAGATTTTAATAGAATTTTATGAAAGATTGTGGATACTATATTATAAATTTAATTCACGAATTATATGAAAATTATACAGAAAAAACAAGTAGACGATGTAACGAGATGTAACGGTACTTAAATTCGTAGATTTATAGAGCGTAAGAGATATGTGATCGTTTTTTTATCCAACATAGCTGCCTCGCGACAAAGTGTGTGATGATTTTATTTTTTAATTAAGTTTTTTTTACTAATATCTATGTGCCAATGCAAATGTGCATTTTGTTCACTGGCATTCCCGTATAATGCCTCATTCGTTAATATAGAAATAAGCTGATTGATTTTTGTTTTTGTTTTTTTTCCCATTTTTCTAAGCATTTACTCATCCAAATGAGAAGAAAGATACGAGAGATTCGTACGGGACTATGAATCGATACGTTTAACTCGTCGAGCCATTTTTGTTTCCATTCGCTTGTCAGAGTGTATTCTGTTTTTTTTTTTTTTTTCCCAATGGATGTCTCTGAAACGGTGCTAAGAAAAACGCGATATGTGATATATCGTAGCTTCACATGGTTGTAATACACTGTAATAAATAATGAGGCAGCGAAAGAAAATTGATAAGACGAAACTTCTGTTCTGTCCTAATTGTGAAAGTATCGTGAAACAGGACGATAAAACTTTGACTAGTAGATGAACTGTAAACCGCTTTGAACGAACAGATTAGCAGCTTTATTCGATGTAATTGCGAAATCGTGTTGAATATGAAAAGAAAAGTTTTTATTTTTTTATACATATGAGAAAAAAAGATGAAATTTTAAAAAAGTACGTATGATAACGAAGATTTTATAGATAATGAGATGAGAGAGAAAAAACGAGACGCTATTTAATTTTTTATAACAGTATTCTACGAAATGTATTTAATGTTTTAGCTGACAATAGCGGATTGAAAGTTTCCTCTGATTCAGATTGACGCGTAAAGCATATATATAAATATATATATAAATATATATATTTTATTTTTATGCAAATATTCATAAACTGAATATTATATGCGCGTGTATAGTTAAATGATTTTTATTCTCGCTCTTCTTCATCTCAATTTTTTTTTTTTTTTTTAAGAACTACTGTTACAAAATCCAACAGGCTTACGAAAGCAGTATATTTATTATATAGTCTGACCACTTGATTCAATGTATATATTTGTTAAAATAGTGTGTTCATCAGTATACTACTTGTGCATATAAAAAATATATATATATATATATTTTTTCGGGCGACTCATTCACTTATAATGTCTCGTAGAATTACTCGATGTGTTGAGGTCTACAGCCGTGATAAAGAAAAACAATAAAAAACACTATTGCAAGAAGAACGTTTATATACTTACGTTACAAAATAAAATGTATTTTCATTTCTCAAATTTCACAAAAATAACAACTATAATTGTTGTTATCGCGCATTTTTGTGTAAAAAAAGAAATACCACTTCGACTGTATAAATCTTTATTTCGCGTACAATCCGTCCCCGAACATCAAAAAGAAATTTGTAAACGTGCGATTTTTTGCGTAAGTTGGTTTGATTTCCATAAGGCTATATACATACACATCTAATTGAATTATTTATATATATTACAGATTTTATGTTCATTTTTTTAAACGAAATAAAGTATTATTTTAACTTATTTTTATTGTAGTCTACACACACAGCATTTATATATTATAGTTTGATAATACGTGTATTTAATAATGCGCACGTATGTGCTGTATATTTCGAAAACTTTGTATCGCAAGATGTATCTTCGCTCATACACACACACACACACACACAATGCTCTAATCATAATAATTAAACGAAAACAAATGCAGTGGCTTTTAACGACGTAGGTATTACAACTTTTTGTATTTTTTATAAAGTAGAATATCTCAAATATATAACTTTGTGACATCTCTTTTATTGTAATTCTATATACACAAACTCGACTTTTTGGTTGTGGTGTAAATTTTATATACTTGTTTTTAATACAAACTCAAAAAGAGAGAGGCAACTTTTTAAATTGGCTTTAACTCTGACCATACTAATAAAAAAAACAAACAAACAAACAAACAAACAGAAATTAAGCTAAACGAGACCATAACGGAACGTTCACGTTCATGCGTCATATATGATGATGACACAAGTCACATATTTTGTACTTTTATATTTAACACACTGATCGAGTCATTTGAATGTAACACTTTGCGTGATGACTATATGTTTACTCATCTCGTGTACAGATTTCGGTTTGCGAAATGACACAATCATGCACACTCTCGCAGAGATATGTGTGACAATAATAGCTGTTAAGCAACGTTGAAACAAGTTTTGCTGTTTTTGTAACTAGTAGTGTCATTACAGTTAGTTAAAAAAAACAAACAAACAAAAAAAACAAAAAAAAAAAAAAGAAAACGAAACAAAACAAATCTCTTTTTTCGACTAATTGTACATATTCTACTCAAGCAAAACCATGTAGCGTCGAGATTTGCTGTAGAAGCTCTCAATTGAACTGTTCCGTTGCATTTTGTGTTTTTGAAAGATGTTTTTACAACGAGCATAATTGTATTCGTTAAAGTCAATTCGATTGATCGTCGTTTCACGCCACTCTTGCAAGTGTACATCATCGTCTTCCCTCATAACAAACTCTTGCGATTCAATTAATATTACAAACACATATATAATCGCTCGAACACCGATTTGAAAAAGAAAAAAAAAGAAAAAAAAACTATAGAACGCATTTATTAAGTTACGGCCTGTACTTAAACGAACTTTTTTTAAATTTTGTAACGCGGTTTCCACGTATGCCATTAAACTTATTCCAGAATTCGTTTGAAAAATCTGAATTTTTCATCTCTACATAGTTGTGTAAACGTTAATCTCTCTGTATATACACATAAACAAACAAACACACAACAACGTTGAGTATTAATTATGCGTGTTTGAGTGAGAAAATATTGAGCGAGAGATTTTACACATAGTTGTGTAACTGAAATCTTCATTCTAAAAAAAAAAAAAAGTAATCGCGTCCCAGGCATATTATACTAACGCAAACAGTGAATTAACAATTGTAATCGACAATGTATTGTAATCGCGATACCGACCCATTCCTTGTACGCTTTCGATCAAACTCTATCGGCGCTAAAGCGACGCGACGAGTGTCGCTCGCGCGAAGAAAAATGTACGAAGACTAATTAATTACGACTAATTAATTATACTTACGTTCTATTGTTGCTGCTCTTCGACATCGAAAATCTTATCGGAAGCCCGAGGAACAATTTTTTATGTATGTTACACCATGCGGAGCGGGCTGCCTTTTCGATAAGCGTCCTATTGAGAAGCTTCGAACGAAAAATATACAACATATGCGCCGTCGCGGCACAACAACAGCGGCTGTTAGCTACATAGTTGTTAAGTGATATCGCTGTAGAAAGCATGCTCTAGAATGTAAGGAAATTGGAGTTAAAACGACTCGAGCGAACCGCATACGATTTTTAATGTTATTAGACCTACTATATATGTACATATACGTGTATAAGCAACGACCGAGTGAGAGTCATATATTTTTCCCCTTCCCCCCTCTTTTATCACACAACTGTGTCCACCCGGTATATATTCGGATTTAACAATTCATATCTGTACATAAAGCCATTTGTGAGTAAATCTCTTTCTCTTCTTTTTTTTCTTTCTCTCTCTCTCTCTCTCTCTTCCTCTGCGTGCGCACACTATGCGGGAGAGAGAAAATCCTGTATTATCTCCCTTCATTAAATCGCTCTGTACATATTTAATGTCTTCTTTTAATTTATTTCGACCTTATCATTCCACGTGAACGCGAAGCGAGAACATTTGTTAGCGTGCGTACGAAATTTTACTACGTCATTAAGTTTATTTTACGTCATAAATAACAATGACGCAAGTAACATAGGATGAGTATGTTGCGTGGTTGTGACGCAGTTCTATCACAGTACGTTGTACGCGCTATGACGATTTCTGTGACGTCGTCGCGATGACGAACGTCGAGACAATGGCGAAATTTCGCAGATAAACGGCAGTGATGTGTAACAGGGCACGGTTCTCCAAAACGGCAGGTTGTCACTTGCGGCGGATGACGATGGATTCGCAAGACCGACGCAGCCCTTGGAATGCGACGGTTCTCCCGCACCCCACGCTCGATAATCGAAGCAGGACAGGGGCTCACCTTTGACAAAGCGCACAGTGTTTCTAAATTGTCAAAAGAGAGAAAGATTTTTGAAAACAAATTTTCGCGAATACCGAATTCGTTCTTCCAGATTCGTTCCTTGTCGTTATTGCTGAGACCCACGAAACTGGGAAGATCGCGCGACACGAACTTGCCCAAACCTTCCGTGCGCTCTTCGCTTATCACGTGCGCGAGAGACGCGTTCTGATCTCGACAGAAATCTCGTGCTTGCGTGTAATTTAATCTCTCGGACGAGAGCACGAACACTCCAGCCTTCGGAATACACTCCGTTGTGGTGTTTGCTGTTAAAATTAATTCTCCGAAATTGATGAAATTACAACGTGCGTTCTCCGAAATTTATTTAATTCGCAAACACAAACTACTCGTGCATATACATATGTGTACGTGTAAGTCATAATTGCTTTATTTCTCAACGCGCGAAACTTCAATCTTTGTAGAAATGCGCACGAGATATGTATGCGAATAATTGTGATTATAATTACCTGGAGGAACGAAAACGGGGTACATGCTGTAATATCTGTAATTTGCCGCGGGCACAAGAGTGGTCATGTTGTGATCCTCGGGACATTGAAGAGCTTGACAAGCATTCTCTCGATCTCCTGTGTGTGTTGATAAAGAAATAAATGTAAAGAAACGGAGAAATTATCACAAAACGCTTACGTACGTTGATATTGAATTAAATTGCATTTAATTGAACGCGCTAATTGCGGCGCGCCAAAGCGCGCTCGCACATTACCGCCGTAATTACGAGAGTGCGGTGTCGTAAAATTATCATAATTGTACGTCGCAATTACATTTAATTGTTCGCATTAATTCGCGTACCGGCACGGTTCCTCGCGGAAACAAAATTAAAGGCGAGGGCCTTCTTCGACGCGGCGAATTTCTCGCACTCGCTCAAACTGGAAACCGCCCGTCGCGATATGATCGGTTGATTCGAGCGAGAATTGATCTTTATTAGATCGTAACGCGGCAATTCGCGGTAATTAATTTCACAGCAGCGATCGCAGGCAATTGAACATACCGCACACGCAATTAGTGAGAACAACAGTATGTCGGTGCTTGGCATTTTTTTTTGTAAAGAATTTAATTTGAAATATTTAAAAAACATACGATTGTACGTTAGTTTGACGTGCAGCACTGTGCGCGCTACAATTCAACACTACTCCGTATCACACTTCGGTGACGATAAAATTGAATGTTACGGATTTCCGACCTTCCGGAAATATCAAACAATTTGACACGATAATTGTGAGGAAACAAAAAAAATCCGACAAACATCTGACATAATGTGGAATACGATCGTGCGTGACTGGATATTTTATTTCCCGAAATATTTTTCATTTCAGCGTGAATAGAACACTTATGTAAAAAACGGCTCAACAGAATAAAAAAGATAACTAAATAAGACCAAAAAGCAATTCAGCTGTAGTATTTTTTCCAAATTTGAATAATTCACATTTAAGTGACTGAAATATTAAAAAAAGATACTATTATTTGCGTTATTTTGACGTACAGTACTGCGCTACAACTGATGAAGATCAAAATAAATGATCGAAACCATTAATTCACCATTTAAATATGAATTATTCAAATTTTGAGAGAACATACTACAGCCACCACCACCCGTTGAATCGACGGCTTTTGTTATCTTATTTAGTAATATATATTTATTATGCCTTTTATGTGTTCACTTTTCATAGATTCTAATTTTTCTTTATATTTTTTTCCTATTCTGGTTTTAAAGTGCCTTCAGCTACCTTTTTTATGGGACTCTTTATATTTTTAATAACTTTTTAAAAAAGAAGGTAAAGGAGCAACACATGATTTTTACACGGGAAAAATGTTTTATTAAAATATTGAACGTGATACACACCGCACTGTTTGTGCGTAACAATAACAAGATTCGCATAATATATGTACGTATCATATGTACATTGCCGCGTACGTCTTATAAGAGACATTTTGTTTACCATCGCATTAGTCTCTCTCTCTCTCAGTTTGTTCTCAAGATAATACAATCTCGAAGATTTCATATCTAATTATATTTTTTTGCTTCCTGTATGTCTTCTCTTTTATGAGTGCCGTCGCAGAAAGGTCTGTTTGATGTTTGCTTGCAGTTGCACAGCCAATACTCTTTCGTCTCGGGAACAATAAAATGTACAGGTTTCAAGGTAATTTTAAAATGAACCTCCTTGTGCGTACCATCGCACAATGGTTGACTTTTGCTTTGACCACAAAGACACCACGCGTACTTCTTGCCGGCTTTGAGATGTATTCTAAACGGCTTCCTGTCGTATATTACCCCGTTCTTGGGCTGAGAAGAGGCACCGAAGACCTCCCTTAGCGGATTTTCAGGTATTGGCGGTTCGTTAGTTTTCGTGCAAAAACTAGACACCTGGAATGACAAAATATTACCAATCTATAAGAGACCCGAATATTTTATTTATCATTTTATTTTTGTTAATAAGAGAAAAGAACGATATATACATGAATTTACATACTTTACATACTATAATACATGTTACATTACATATTATTATTAATAATTAATAATTTAATAACATATTACTTTACATATTATTATTAATAAATAGTAAAATATTTAAAAATTAAATTTGCAGTTTTCGGTTAATGTCAGCCATGTGCCAGATGCACGAAATATATTTTTAAACGTATAAATTATTACATATAATAATTCGAAAAATTCATACTGAATGCTGGTTTTGCATCACATTATGAATTACCCATCTCATTTCACTTTTATGAAATTTAAAAACTATTGCGAAAGACACCTCGGCAGACGTTTGTACAAATGCGCAAGATCTGGATTCGAGATTTCTGTTTCGCAATTTTTTAGATTTCATAAACGGAAAAGATAAATTTATACATATGTAATACAAAACAATATAAAGCATCCAACATGCATTCAATATGAAGCATTCGATATGAATTTTCGAATTTATGAATTTTCGGTTCGAATTATTGTGTAATAATGTACATGTTTAAAAATATATTTCGCGCACGTACATCCAGTGCATGACATGCACTCACATTGATCGAGAAACTCTTTACCGGTTTGATACTAAATAAGCTAAAAAATATATATGAAATTTAATTTTAAGTAGAAAAGATAATACGATTTTTGTTCTACTTGCTCGTGTTAAAAAGATTGATATCAGATCGAAAAAAGTACTAGAGCACGTTTATGGTTACTACTATCATAATGATTTGAGACTTTCTCTATTTACAAGAAGACTATAGAAATTAAATCAGTAATTAATCAAGTTTGGGTTTTATTATAAAGTTATTATATGGCGTTTACTGCAAAATTATCTCTCTACTTATAAATATATACATATAAACGTGTAAAAGAGAGGATATTTAAATTTTTATGGCGTTCAAGTTTAACGTGGTTTTTAGTCTTTTGCTGAACTCTTCAGTACACTTTTTCATAAGTTTTATAAAATTTTTAACGTGTTTTTGTTGTTTGGTTCTATTCTCAATTTTCTATATTTTCTTGGGTCACAATTTTAGGTTAGGTTAGATTAACAGAAAGATGAGGAACAAAAATGGATTAACAAACAAAAAACTTTGTGACGTTTATTTTTTATCGTGACTTACATTTTCACAATAGAGAGCGCGCAGACGAGCGAATCGCGACAGTCGGCTTAATACGCTCATTTTGTTAAATTGCCGATCACGTTCGAGTAAGCAACAAATCGAAAGCAACAGTCACGCTAACTACGCTCGTCGCATCGTCGTCGTGTGTCGGCGCACGAGATCAGCTGCGATCAGTGTTGCCAATTCTATTAGGAAATCCTCCATTTCCATTGACATGTGACATGTGATGTGTGACGTCATAGTTATTCAAACTTAGTAGTTTAGTTAGCTGAGCAGTGTTCGATACAGTTGATATTATAAAATGATAATTCATGATGTTTAACAATATTTTTTTTATTTTTGCTTCTTGTTCAGTTGCGCCATCTCTCTCAACGTCGATGAGATACTGTTAAACACTCGTCGTTGTATCGTTGACCAACTGTCAATGATTATAAGTTTAACGATTATTATACATTATTTATTACATTATACTAATCTGTATTATAAGACTAGATCTTTGTAATCAAAATATCTAGATTGCAGAATTGCATATAATAAAACAACTTTTTTTATAGATATAATATAAAAACTTTTTATAGATGTAATATAATATCTTCTGAGTTTTATAGATGTAATATAATATTCCCTGATTAAAATAACTTTTTATAGATATAATAAATATATCCTGATTAAAAAAACTTTATGAAATATAAAATAGAGAGAGAGAGAGAGAGAGAGAGAGAGAGAGAGAAAGAAGACAGAGAAAAGTGTGTAAGAAATAATATAGATAAAAATTTTATTCTAATAAAAACAAATACAACAACTGCTTATATTTAAAACATTAAATTTTATGTATTTTTATGTATTTTAAAAGATTAATTATATATATTACAATAAAATATATATTTATCTTTAAAATATATATATATATAAATTTTTTTTTTATCATCAACTCTTAATTATACATTATATATCTGTTTTTACATCTTTTTTTTATATTCTACAATATCATTTCGCATTCAACTTTTGTTTGATTTTTCTATTGTGTTTTATAACAGATTTTATTGTGAACTTATAATCTGTTGTTCAAGAATCTGTATTCGAGGGATATAGCATCGCGATTACGAACGCGTAAACAGTTTCCGACTTGGAATCAATCGATTAGAAACGTCGTTGTCTCATTCACTTTCGCTTAATGAAAGCGAGGGCAAGTCGGATGTAAAGAGCGATGTGCGCGAAAACAGTTCTGAAATTGCGCATTCCGAAATTCTCACATCGCGTGGCGCACGTGAACGTAATCAAAAGTAAGTAAACTTTTTTTGTTTGCGAATTCAACAATAAAAATTGCGACGTGGATCGCGCAAACGATAATGGTGAAACGGGATGAGCAGATCCCATATTTGCACAAAAGAAGAATGAGAATTAAAACGAAGAAGAAAGAGATAATTCTCTCTGATATAACAGTTCCTGAAAAAAATCCAGGAACGCGATACGCGCCGCAAGCAACGGGATGAATATACGAAGATTGCATTTTTATGAATACGTGGTCGTGTGATACATTTTCAAAGGGTAATTGACCATTCCAGAATGGCGTGAAGACGTATAAAGTGGAGCGCACGCCAGAGTTATCCCTCTGAGATTCGCGCGCTTATCGATTAGAAAGCCGATACTGCGTGTAACTAGCAACATGCATCGAAAATACACATTCTCCGCATTGTGTTTGATTTATTATATACATTATCTTTCTTAGAAATTATATTCGTTCGACGGACTTTTGTAGAACTTTTTCAATTTTTGCGAGCAAGTTTTTCTTATTCTAATCAAGATCTAATCAGTTTTCCGCGTTGAATTTCACGCGAAGACCTTGGCGAAGACCTTTTCGTAATGTTTACGAAAATAAACAATTTTGTATTAAGTGCAAAAACAGCCTGGAAAATAATGTGGTAATTACGAAACTCTTGTTGTGGGTCGCACACCAGAGTCTCTCGTTCACTGATAATGCGAACTTTCTTTATTCATCGATGTAACAAACACATATGCGACACATAAAAAAAATTGAATTGTGCAATTATTTTGTGTGAAACATATTAAACAAACCGCGTACTGATTTCATTTTTTAGATTGTACAATTTCCTGGTAAAAAAAAAAGAACATATTTCAATACACGCGGTTTTCTTATCATTATATGAAACTTTCTCTCTCGAAAATTACTTTTCGAAATCGTCTACACACGCCTACGCACGATTATTTTCATTGATACGAATTAACCGCGCTTGCGGTCAGCGAACACAACACACAGTGGCAGCGCAACACACGAAGGCTCTTCAAAGATCGCTTAATTCTATTTGGGACCTACTTTTAAAACGTGCGGGAGAGAAAGTAAGAGGAGCTGCTTGGTGGAGTGACGGCGGTCGCGTGCTTGAGAAAGTAAAGTCCCTTTCGCGCATAGAGATGTATACTTGCGTATATACTCGCGCCAACGTACATACGCGGCCGCGCGTCGTCGTGCATGTTCTCCAAGTCGGTCGCCGATCTGTCGCGAAAGGAAGTTAATGTAACCAATAACGTACAAGCAAAAAAAAAATTCTACCTTGATTTCTTTGCATAATTTTTTATATACTTTTATTATTAATAGTTCAAAAACTGTTATTTTTCCTATGTTAGTTCTATTAAAACAGCAAAGAATATAAACTGTAATTAGTCAAAAACAAAAGATATGTATATTTAAGTATAATGTTCAAATCTAAACTATATCGCAATTCAATGTTAATTTCAATCGTTGAAAGTTACGTTTAGCATTGGTGTACCATTTTATAAAAGTTTCTACAAGTTTTGTGCGTATGTTTGTGTGTGTAATACATCATTTGTAATTTTCCGCAAACAGGTTCATAAATTATTAGAGCAAATATGAGTAAGAATTCATTTACGATTGCACGATATATTTTTCTTTTGTGGGAAAGATTACGCGCAGACTTCTTGATTAACAGCGCTCTAATTAACGTCATACTTGTGTATTATATATACACAGCAGCAGTTAGCTATTTATAAAACCGCTTTGTAATTTCTGCAACACGAAAATAGATATTTATCTTATTGTACATATGCAAATTTCTCAAATACTTTCAATATAAATAAAAAGATTTGAAGTTCAAAAACTCGATGAAAGTAACTTTCACGATGCAAAAAAATTAAGTTTGCGAAAGAATTATCTCTCTTTGACATTTAAAACAATTATAAAATCTCATTATTGTTTTCTATCTGCATTGACACGACACTTATCACCCACATGATTAAAATCCCTGACGCATATGACGGGAACCGCGAACTGATAATCGCTGCTATAGTAACACGTAGATTACCTCATCTATTAATTTTCTCTAATATGTAATATCTGATTAGTCAAATACACGTCGATCAGAGATTTCGTGTGTACGCAAACCGCATTTAATCAGCAGTTCTCCCTATTTTGTGGCATATTCGAGAAAATTGCCGTTTGAATTGTTTTCTATAATTGTCAATGCGTCAAAGTTAGTGACGTGACTGTCATCGACTGTCTCTTCATTCACGGCTTTTCTACGACGTTGTAACATTCCTTTCCTTTTGGTTGATAGCCATCGCATTCCGCGTCAGTATTTATTCACGTCACAATTATAGTTACGCGGGCGCATGTCTCGCGTACGCAAAAGACTATGCAACGCTACCGCCTAATTGCATCTCGACATCTTGGACTTCCTCGGCGTTGCGCAACGGATATATACGCAATAGTCCCATTTTTTTTGCGGTTTCAGTATATTTTCGCGCTAATGTATACAAAGTTACGTGGGTTTGAAAAACGTTCCAATGTTAAGTGCACCAATGTCGCAATTTACAATTTACGAGAGAGAAAGAGAAAAAGAAATATCTAAAGCACCGCGCGGCAAAATAATTACTTTTCTTTTACATTTTAGTCAAAGAATATTTCAAATTTAATTTTTCTAAGAAGAGAGAAAAGTGTTTCTACTAATACTAGAACAACCAAATCTGATCAAAATAATGGACTTCAGATTTCTTATCTCGAATTACAAAATTATTCTGCGTAGTTTTTTTTTTTATAAAAAGAATAAAGTGTAAAATATTAGAAATCTTTATTTAGCTTTTTTGTTGATTAACTTAATTATTAACGATGTTAAAAATAATAACAAATAAAATGTTTTTTTCAAACATCCGTTTAATTGACAGATGTGTGATGTATCCATATATTTAACGTTGTTCTAATGTTATAATAAAATTTAAAAAAAAATAAATAAAAAAAATTGCGCGTGTTGGGATTTGTCGTTCAGTTATTACACATAATACGCGCTGTTTAAAGTGACTGTACGTAAAGATAACTTAATTACACAAATCGGAGTAATAATTGTCACCGGCTGTTTAGAAACTAGAAGAAGAAATCTGATGATTTCCGGCGATGAGAAAACCATAATTTGCTCGCAAAGCCGCCGCGTTCACCGTCGGAGTCGCGATAATACGCTATAGATATACGCTTTACGTCGGCGGACTTTCGAAGTTCACGGAGAAAGTTACACCTGGTTGACTCTATAGCGGCGCGGGCGCTAGGCAACACATCTAGACAAATATAAAAGGAGCATCATTGATGATCTCGCGCGATCGGTACGTACTCCTCGATTTCGACCCAGTTCTTGCACGCATTCCCTGCCCGCGACATTTTTACGTCGAGAACTCGCTCTCTACGCGGCCGGGACTCTCGTCGACCGAACACTTTCGATCTTAATTGAACGCGTTCTCTGTATCGATCTTTCTTTCTAATGTATACAATTGGCATCTGCTAATGAGTCTCGTTAATCTACGCGCGTGCAAACTTGCTCGATGCGCACAGAAGAACGATCTGGTTTTTTTTCGGATAGTTGGTAACATTTGAGAATAAACATGTCAGAAAGAAACGACGGCAAGTTTGTGTCACGTTTTTTTTTTTTTTTTTTTAATTTTTTTAATTAAAGAAGACAAAATGAAACTCGTTACTCGATATCGTCGTCCGAAATCCGATTCTGCGTGTGTTTAATGATTCATCTTATCGCTCTCGCTCTCGCGAACGTTTTTATTGGAAATCTGATGTGGTCAGATCATTTACGTAAAGAGATAGTTGGTGTAACAGGATACAATCCGATGTCTCGGTGTCAGAGGTGTCAAAGAGGAGAAAGGCGTTAATAAACGCGTTGAACGTATAATACGCGCGCGTATGACGTATATCTCGCCTTCGTACTCTCGTTTTCATCTAGAATAAAATCTCCATACATTTTCGACACACATAAACATTAGAACGCGCAAATCACAGGCTTTATACTCCACCATATCGCTGTTACGATCTTTCTCAGCATTCTCATCGTCGTGCGCGCGTAGATGCCGATCTTTTTACTCAAACGTCGTCGTTACCGATACCAAAGTTGCAATTTCATGAATCATGCGTACACATATATGTAACTCGTACACACAATTTCATTTTCATCAGATCAGATACTTGCTTGCTGATGATTGTTTTTTTTTTTTTTTTTCTAAACACATCGCGCCGTGAAAAATGTTAATCGTCGCGTTCTCACTTGACGTTTTTTTTCGCGCGGTCGATCGCGCTATTATCGAAACGGATCCGCGAGTTCCGCAATTCGCACGATCAGCGCGTAAGAATGTAATGACAATCATCGGAGCGAATCGACCGATCTCTCTCCCGGAGAAGAAGATCAGAACGATTCGTCATTGATTGAGACGATCGTTCCGCGAGATATTACGGCGCGTATCTCTCTGGCCTGTTCCGTATCTCCGGATCAATCATTCGATGCGCGAAAAATACGAGCGTGAATGTGGCACGCGTGTTAAAGCCTTCGCGATGACATACCGAAAAATAAAATATCATTGCGATTGTCCCATCGACGAATTCTCACCTCACTCGTCGGCTTGTCACCGACTTTCACCGTCGCGCTTAAATAATAATTCACGGCGCAACGATTTCCTGATGCCCGCGGACATCGTAAATTCGCAAAAAACGAGAGTGGCCCGGATAAAAAAAAAAAAAAGATGTCTTTTTTTTCACTTAACGAGTCGAATTGTTTGTCTAAAAACTGTCTCTTGAGAATCTTGCGTATCGACGATACGGTTTCAGAAAGAATTGAAACTTTCGCGCGTGTTACAATTGAGCGACAAGATATTAATCAAATTAACCGTTTGCGTATCGCGTAAACGACAATTTTATTAATTAACGAGAGCGCAGATTGTACAGAGAGATTATATTAATCAAAATGCTACACACAATAGAAATGAGCCAATTTTTTGATGAGAATTTCGCAAAGTTCACGGTTCTTTTTTTTTTTTTTTCGTGCTCTTTCGCGATAAAACAATAGTCCGCGCTCATTTACAGCACGATCAAGTGGTGGCTGCGGTTAATTCTCTTAACTACTTCCTAAATGTTGCGGCAGCTCAGCAAAGCGTAAAGGAAGCTTTGCGCGCGAATCGTAAGTCCGTCAAGTTTTCTGGATTTTTCAATGTATAAACACGAACGTGTTATTAATATATTATAATAAAATTCTCAAGATTTTATCTTTATTAATTATCGTACAAGATAATTTATTATTACCTGTTAAATCTTGCACCTTGATGATAAAAAAAAAACGAGAGAGACATACAAAAAGTTTCTACACATATAATAATACTTGCAGGGTGTACTTTCGTTTGTGTTTTTTTTTTTTTTTTTGGAGTACGAACTCTCACTTCAATTAATAAAAAAAACGGATGTGTTAAGCGTCCGAGGCTTTCTAGCACGTTGAAACGAAATGGGATACCTTGCTCGTCCTATGAAAGTCATTAGCGAACAAAGAAACAATGCGGCGGGAGATTAGGCAGTTCATCGCGAGTTTCGGTGACACTAGGAGTGTCGTTCACCTTTCTTAGGCAGTCGCGGGCGAGTTTTCGAAAAGATGTCGTTCCATCTCGAACCCGCTTTCTTTCAACAATCAACCATTTGTCGCTAATTAAACGTAATAAAATAATCTGATAAATATTTTATACAAATAAATTGTGTATTAATGGAAAAAATTATTTATTACTAGGTATTATAAAAATATTATAAAAATAGATATTGAAAAAGTTGCAAACATATCTACATACGAATTATTATCGCTTGTCGCAAATATATCGCAAATATATAATTCTCGGAAATCTTTATCTGGTTTAAAAACCGAGCGTTACGGAAGATCGAGCGAGACTGATGGGTGAAACGATTACAAAAAATCACAATGAGTAGATAATCCTCCCCACGTGGGTGTCGGTATCGTTAGCTTTTTCCCGGCACGGAAAAGTGGAGATGGTTGGTCGTCTTCAAACCGCAAACGTGGTGGGGAACCTCGCGCGAGAGAGTTTATGTATGTACCGAAATGAAACTACTCCGCGGAGAAAGTGAGTAGCGGCGACCGACGGGCGACGAGCAGAGGCAGGCGTTCTTCGGGGCTCTGCTCGCGTGAAGAGAGGATAGTAGAAATGGTGCGAGCCCTCCGCACGGTGCTGCGGACCTTCGACACCGCGCGTTGGTGAACCGACACGCTTCATCGGTCCCGTCCGCGAGAACACCGTCGGAATTTTTCGTGAACCCGTCGAGGAGAGACCAGTTTCAAACTCAAATACATGTGGTGACATAAATCAAGAAACAAAACGAACTCTAAAACGAACATTCGGTGGAACATTTGTCGCGTCAATTAGCAATTAGTGCAAGTGAGAAATCTAAGTCAAGTTACATTAGTCATCAAAGTTATATTAGTCATCAAGAGCAACAGAAACTTTGCGAATTGTGCGCGCATGGGAGATAACATGCGCACATGAAACAATCTCGGTGAAATACAAGAGAGGTTCACAAGAGAAGATCGAGCAAAAGGGAAGTGCGCGCGATATCCAAAAAAAAAAAAAAATCCGTTATCAGAAATTTGGGAAAGTCCAATCAACGACGAAATATATCTCTCGGGTAACTAACCGGATAGCAAAGACAGTTTTGGTTGTGTTATGGTGCTGAGGACTACCTCGGTCAGACGAGGCAGACGAAGAGGTCGCAGAAGAGAGGGTGACGGTAGCGGCATTCCGCTAGCAGATTCGCTTTGAGAAATCGCTCACATTGTTTCGACCAGTCGAGGAGAAAAGGTCTCTTGTGAATCGGTAAGTTTCATCGTCGGTTTGTGTTTTCCTCTCTCTAGCGCGAACATCGCCGACGGTCCATTTTATGCGCGTTTTCTAGATTTTCTAATCTCGAAACTCTCAGTCGTGAAACATTAATACGCAGGAACGTATTTAGAAAATAAAACGAAAACGCAACAACTGCTTATTTGTGATAGGTGTTTTAGCTATTTGATATAATATCCGAAAAAAGATAAAAGCATACATGAAAAAAAAAAAATGATGTTAAATCAACAGTATCAGTTTAATTGAAATATATCCTGTTGATGCAACGTCAATATTATTGCACTATACACAGCAGATAGTTGCTTTAAGAATCTAGACATTAAATTAATCGCATATGCAATTGAATGAACTATTTATTTTTGTGGCAACCCGTGACGTCAACTTTAATTGAAGCAACTCCATTTTTTTCTTCTGTGTACGATCATATGAGATTATATATAAGTGATCAGATCGCACCAAATTTCGGATCTTATTTTATATGATCACACACGATTTTCTATATTTATATGTGATCATATAAAATCAAATTCGCGCCGAAGATTTGATTTTACACGATTTTACGCGAAATCACATCCGACTTAAATAAAATCTTATATGATCATATAAAACCATACCTGTGTGTGACCCATATATAATCCCACATGATCGCACACGTTTTTCATTATTTCTCGGGAAGTAAAAGATATAATGTAAAAATATTTAATCATATGTTTAATATTATTAATCACCAGTGACAATGTCACTAGAATTTGTCACATGTGAATTTTTGTCATTATCGTTCTAAGAACAACGGTTGAACCCGAACTAATTAGGAAGCAGGTTGATTGACAAGGGAAGCTACCATTGGCTGTTTTTAATGGAAGAACAGTAATTCTCGTGGGAGAGAAAATAGTGTTGCTTTTCCGTAATAAGGAATGCAATTTAAGGTTTTACACTCTGGCAGTTGTGTGTGCAGTTCATTATCACAGAGAAACAAACGAACAGGTGTTTTCTTTTATCAACGTAGCGCGACGCGCGTTGAAGAATCTCTCTATCTCTGGATCGGACATTCGTATGTGTGTGTGTGTGTGTGTGTGTGTGTGTGTGTGTGTGTGTGTGTGTGTATGTGTGTGTTTTTTTCGCGTTAAAGCGATCGACTCAGCTTCGAAAACTTTCTCCCACGATGTTTCTTTAGGTGTTTCTTTTCCCGCGTGTTTGATTGCGCGAACGATAAATCGTCGCGCATACAAGTATGCATCTCTCTCTCTCTCTTCAAGAGCAGAGATCAAATTTAGAATCGATACACACCGCCGTATATCGCGAACGGCACCGATGGGTGAAGACACGGAACGCGCACGGCTCCGTTTCGTTTCGTTAAGCTTAAACGTCTGATTAAACGGCATTTACTATATAAAAGCAGGGAGAAAGCAAGATCGCGCGCCGCGTCGTGAAAGAACACCTATCTTTCCCAAAGAGAGGCTATCACACAGCCGTCTCTTACGTATAAAAAGTGTGTTAAGCGAGAAACACAAGTCGATGCGCGTGCGGTGATTTTGATGCGCGGAGGCGAGGATCGGTGCGCCATACCGGGGTTCGTTTCTCAGCCTGAGATTTCAAAAGTTCGTCCGAACGTAAATTACGTTCAATCGCAGTGCATTAGTGGTTTTCGTGGTACACACATTAGACGCGCACGTAATGACGAAGAAACTCGATATCTCGCGACAAACGACCCCGTTCGGATGTCAATCTCAAATACTTCGCCTGATTCTCCATACAGTCAAAATGTTTGCCGTTACAAATAAGTAACACGGGCAGATCGTTCGATCGATTAAATCGATCAGTAGGTGAAAGAGAACGGTTTAATTAAAAAAAATCTCTCCAAGTAATTAAAAAAAATCTCTCTTTTATTTGAACAATCCAAGATGTTATATTGACTTCTCGAAAACTTCAAATAGACTGGCAATAGATATTTTATTGTTAGAAGATATTGTTTTCTTTTCGTGTGCCAAAATGTAGTTTCCGCGCTGATTTCGGAAGGAAGTTTCGCAAGCGGCTGATCGCCGGCTCAAAGCACGAACTTCTGCGTCACACGTGGCGCATAGTAGAGAATATCATACCTCTGCGAAGACTTTTTTTAAGCTGCCATTCTCGTAGGCAGTGAAAGTACTTCCGTTCTTTCTCAAAACGAGACGCTCGCGACGGCACATCGAGGACGGCACGCTTCGGTACCATTGTACACACGTTGCCCAAACATTGTACGCACCCGTACACTCGTCGTCGTTTTACGTAACGTGGCAACGAAATTCGACAATAAAATAAATTTACGTAGAAACGCGGATCCGAAGAGTCATGCGACACGGAGAAGAACCTTGCGACTCCGACTCTTTCATTTCAAAATCGTTTTCACGTTAAATTGCGAGAGCGGATGAGCACATTGACAAGTCTCGAGCGAAGCCAAACTCTCGACGAAAACGTTTTCTCGCAGTGGCTCTTTTCTTTAATTGACGTTCCGCAGAGAGCGCAACTCTTCGCGATTTAACTTTATTCGAAAAGCAATCGCTTGTGTTATATATATTGCACATTCATCGAGACTGAAAACGCGGAGAAACGAAGCGGCCGACGAGAAAAGATTCGTTACACAATGGAAAGTGTTCGTCACGAAAGATATCGGTGAATTAGACCGCGAAAATGCCTACTCTTTTCAAGGCCGTAAATAAGATCAGCGGCTGTGACGTCAAGATTTCTTCTTCGCCGAATAAGAAACCGGTTTCTATATCTTCCGAAATGCATTTTCACAGAGAAAGAAAAAAATACGCGCGTTTGCGAACATGAAAGTCGAAGAACTTATCAGTCGATTCCGACTGAAAAGACGAAAGAGGTGAGCAACAAAGACGTAGTATGCGGTTTGAATATGACGACGAAGCAGAGTCTCGGAGATAAATGCATCCGCTCGGGGAAAACACTAGGGGCGTATTACCGCAAAACAACCTTCAAAGTTGGTGAAATTTTGAGAGAAATGACGAGAAATTGTTCTGAACGCACATATCGGTGTCTTGAGAAAACATTATTATTCACACGCACAAATTCGCATAATTTACAAAAAATATATCTTAATTTTTACAAAGAGTAATTAATTCTCAGATTAATTAATCAGTTATTTAATATATGCAATATTATATATGTAATAATTAATTAAATACGATCAGATACTTAATATGGAGTGACACACACACAAAATTACTCTGTAAAAATAACTGAGCATTTATTTAACTTGCAATAATACCAGGACACGTGTTATTAATATCTTCACTGATAATATTGATTTATGGACTTCAAACACGGGATATTGACAGTAATATTTATCAAAACGCTCATAACATGCGATTGTGACGTTGTAATAATCACTCGATCGTAAAATCATCATTACGATAAGTAATATCGAAGATTGCCGCGTGTCCAGGTATAATGTACAGCGGTAAGTTTAATGACGTGCGCCCGCGAATGTAATACGCGCTTTATTTTGCTCGGCGACGGTACTACTTATTTAGTTTTGTTATGTAATTCCGGACGTACGCGAGCGCGTGCATTATCGTCATCAATGGCTCGATGACGCGTGCTACAATTTTTTTTTTTTTTTCGTAACGCTCGGCCGATTTTCTCCCGTCGAATGTCTATTATAAAGTCTACAACACACTCACGCACGGTACGTCAACGGAAAATTGCGACCGATCATAGCGCGCAGCAGCGAAACGCGCGCGCGCGTCACGAGAGGCGCGATCATCATCCTTTTTCGATTTCGGCGAAAGTAATGGCGCCGCTCCCCCGGCGCCGGGAGAAAGTGTGTGCGACGGGGGATCCGCCTGCCTTCATCTCGAAGCTCTTAAATGCCGATTCACGCGGAATTCGAGATCCCGCGAGCTACCGCGCGCGAATCCGTGTGGGTGCACTTTGCACGTGCGAGCTTTCACTGACAGCTGGGAACGCGCGACGTCTCCGACCGGTATAGACTTCGCGGTCAAAATTCGCGATTCCGTCAAACTTAATTGGTTTGATCGCGCGGGCGCGCGAACGTTAATAATTATTGTTTTCGAAATTGCTTATAAATTATAAAACCTCAAGCGCGCGCGCGCGCGCGGCGCGGGACTCAAGATAAGAGTAATTTAATCTTCAATTAAAAAAAAAAAAACGCGAGTCACAAACAAAGATGTCACGTACACGCGATGAATGGACATTGCGCTGCAAATTAAAAAAATTACTATGTTTCTCTGCCTGCGCAAGGAAAAGAAAACGACAGAATCCGGAAATTATATATATCTATATGTACGAAGATCAAGGCAGAAGAGTTGTAATAATCGGAAACTTTCACGATGCAAAATTCATGATGCGCGACTGATTCGTACGCGTTCGCATAGTGTTTTGTAGCGACGTTGTTGTTTTCACGGGGAGAACAAAGACTTGATAAAAAAAAAAAAAAAAAGAGAAGGAACGAAAGGCGGGACAACTCAGACAGCGACTCGTAACTTCCGCCGCCGCCAGGGCGGCGGATGGGCACCGCGTGAACGTGAACTTCACACTGTCGTGCACGCAAGAAGTGCACTTTCACTTCTGGTGGATCGTCCACGCGACGCGGAGAGCCAATGACCTACTAACACATCGAACCGTTCACCTCGTCACCGCGATTGGTGATGGCCCGGACAAGGCCGTCCACCGGAGATTATCCAACGAACAATTATATCCTTCCACCTTTTTTTTTTTCTCTTGTTGGCATTTCCGACGCTTCGAAAGCCGCCCAGTTTAGGTCGAACGTGAGGCAACGATCAATCAACGTCAATCGCCCCTTTGACTTGCAAAAGATATCTACACACACACACACACAAAGAGCAAGCTTTAGAAACTCGGCTTATAAAAAAGACACTTTAATTGAAAAAAATTTATTGTTTTTTTTACTTCTCTGCTTGAGTGTGTGCTTGGACGACTCTATTTGATTGAAATTGAATTAAAAAAAAAAAAAAAAATTAAACTTGGTAACAGTCCCGAAGATTTTAAGCTTAACAGCGTCTATTATAATTTTGCAACCGCGTCGCGGTTTTCTCTTGTTGGATATTATTGATGGACAATAATTTTATTTGACAGAAATGTCGGTGGATTTAAGAGCGAGCAATGAATCTTCTGATGTTTAAATGCCACGATTCGGTTCCGGTTAAACTTCTTTACTTTCACTCGTTATGGAGGATCGTGACGCAAACTGGATTTCGTCTTGTCGCGCGTGAGGAATTGACGGGCCACGAGGAAGTTGTTTTTCGACTTCACTTTGTTTGTCTTCACAGGTGTCACTTTACTGTAGAGAGATTTCTCTATCTATACGTTCTCTCTCTCTCTCTCTCTCTCTCTCTCTCTCTCTCTTTCTCTAGTTTTTTCGAAACTCGACAAACTTCAAATTTAAAAACTAAATAACGATTACCTCACCGTCAAGGTGGTTCTCTGTAAACGAGAAGCGATTGTAAAACGCACGCGTGTGATGCAAGTAATTGTTTTAAATGATTTTTAACAAATCAAATGTTTCAAATATCAATAGATGAGCTTTTTATATAAATGAAGTTTTTGTGTAAATTTAATTAAAGTTTTATTTACTTACTTCATTAACTACGCATCGATTTAACTTTAAATTGTTTTCCTACTTTGGTTTGTCTTGTTTTCTTTGAACTTTGCATAGATCGCTTCATTATTTTCATTGTTTTATATACTAAAGAAGCGAGGCTCGCGAACGGTACGTGCCAAAAGAAAGTTCTCCGTCGGTCCGCCGACGTGAAATCGCTACCGATAATTGTGAGCGCGAGTAGCGGTGGCATTCCTCGACGTCGAACCAGAATCTTCGACAATTCTTCAGCTGGTCGCGAGCGATGCGCATTTCCTTTCGCCTAGGAATCAGCCGATCTAATGGCTCTCGATAATGATTAACGAGTCGTGAAACTCGAGGAGAAAATCAGTCGGATCCGACGAGTAGAGCTATAGGCGCGCATACGGACAAGTTGCGACTTGCAAAGACTATCTCAATAACTGATACACGTACGAACATGTTGATATCTGCGTTAAAAAAAAAGCGCGAAGACAGAGATTATTACGCTGCACAAGCCAGTCTGCGTCTGGCTTTCAACGGATGAACACGAGCGTTTTGTTTTTGTTTTTTTTTTTTTTGCACTAAATTATTAGATCTGTTTGTTCTAGTCTACGTGGTAATTAAAATTGATTAAAATCAGAAGTTTTTTTTAACATAAGTTACTAGTATATTTTTAAACTTTAATATTCATGTTGCTATTTTATTTCCGGGTTTTAATTAGTTATAAAAAAATATGTCAACCACCATCGATATAAAGCTGATTGGGCCATGTGTTTCAAAGTTCATTTGTTTCTGACCGCAGAGATTGTTTTTTTGTTTTTTGTTTTTGATAAACTACTTTTTATCTACATCGTAACGTATTAACAATTTCACGATATATTTTATGTTTAATTTTTATTTATAAGACGTTGAGTTTTCACTTTTATTTTAATTCTTGTTAAATGAAGCTTTTTATATGTAAATATAATACAGATTATTATAAATAAGAGATCAAAACTTTTTAATTTAAAGATTTGATTAATACATAAACGAAGATGTGCTCGTAAAATTTTCAAATAAACGAAAGGCAGAAAACGCGAGCTAATATACTGGATAGTAGTGTATAAATACATTTTTTCTTATTAATTACAAACTTGAACTTGCCAAACGTTTCGATTCTCGAGTGGGATCTTCCATCAGTGGCTACACTGAGAATAAATAATAATGAAAAAGTTGCCGGCAGTGAGTCTCGACCAATGAAGTGCGGACAAGAGTCATCGTGAATAGAATAAATTTTCACTACTACTCAACGCACATTTCACATCACAAAACGAAAGTCAAGACTGATGGTGTCCAAGTTTGTAATTAACAAAAATAATATATTTATACACTACCATCCAGTGTATATATTGGCTCGTTCTGCCTTTCTACCATTTATTTGATTAACACACTTAATTCTATTGTTTTTTAAAATTACATACAATTTTATTAGACAAATTATTTTTTTATCTCAACTTTTACGGGGTAGCTCAGTGTGCCTCATGGCTAAGACACATTATCACTCTGACTTTTTTTTATTCAACGTACATTTTTACCTATGTACGCAATAGTCTAAGAATCTACGAATGCTTTCTTCTTGACCTCGATAAATATTCTACCTTTTCAAACAATTCTCATTAATCCATTGTGTGAAGATTTACAATAGTTCGAGTAAAAGTTGTTCACCTCAGCTCCGCCCTACGATTGTATTATGGGTTCCCAGTATTATTCCATATACATAGAACATCACTTAGTCTCGTTTCACTTTTGTGCGCGTGCATGTAAGTGTGTGTGTGTGTGTACATATATTTGAGACACTGTACCGACGTAAAATATAGGTCTTGTTACAGAAGCGCAACAATATATCTTTCTACGAATGCAAAGAAACCTCATGAATAATTTATCAAGTACGTTATATGTTTATAATAACAAGCGGTATTTATATGTGTATGGTGTTGTTTTAAAATAAAGTTTTAATGAACGGTTTATTGTTTAACTTTTCAGTAAAACGATGGGTGCATTGAGGTCGTGTCATTGGCTTCTCGCTGCGGTCGTTCTGACTGTCTCTTCGAGCTCGATGGCAAGCGAGCAGCAGCAACTCGCAAGCTTAGATTCCTCGGCCGTTGAAGGACAAACAGATGAAACAAATCGCACAGAAGTGACGACTGTTCGTCGGCGCAGATACGTGCGATTTCCCACGGGACCCGCTTATCTCTTCGACGGCGGTCCGGCAACCGGCAGAAATCTCGGACCACATCCTGCGGGGCGTCTTGTTCCGCAAACTCAGTTCCCCGGTTCGTGGCGGCAGCATAAATCTCTGTGGAGGAGCCCCGTGATCGCCGATTACAACAGACCGGTGATGTCCCATCGGACGCCGCGACTGATATTTCGCGACAACGACTTCCTGCCGCCGATCGGAGGTAACACCGCCTCCTTCTTCCAACAGACCAATCAGTTACCGGATTTCGAAGATGATGCCAGAGGTAAGATGTCATACATTTTTCTCTGTTCGGTTTAACGATTTAATAATTTTTTGTTCGTTTAACCCACATTTACACACAGCTTGTAACATAAGTATCATCTTTGTTTTATTCTTTTTGTTTTTAAATCGTAATTTTTAGAAAAAATTTTTTTATTAAAACACAACTCAAAATTTTGTCTAAATATTATCATTTTTAATATTTAATAAATTTAATTTGTAATAGTTCAGAGCAGAAATATTCATCAAAGATATAGTGTGTTATGTTGCTCATAAAGAGCGGCAATATTTAAAATTATGCACACATTATGCCGTGCGATTGAATCGTTTAACATAATAGTACGTGTTTATCTCTTGTTTTCGTTGGAGCGCCTTTTAAGTACTTTTCGCTCTCACTTTCCTTACGCGCTCGCGTAATTTTATTGCTTCTGTAAACCTCTCTTTGATGTGTGAATAGCGTTTCGTCAATGGTGTTTAGAGAAGCGTGCAAATGTAAATGACGGCACATTATACGAAACTTTTAAACATTTTAAGAGCAATTAAAATATATGTAATCAAATGAAATATTACGCGATTATAAATAAAATACGTGTGAATGCAATGAGACAAACAAGTTCGAACAAAATTATTAATTTATTCACATATGTAATAGTTTTTTGCTCTAATTTTTTCTATAATTATGAAACGATAAATACAATTTATTATAATAATTTCTAAATTAAACACCGCGCGCGCTAATTTTATATTTACTTTAATTATATTTTCTAAAGAAATCTAATTTTAACTTCTTTTTAAAACTATCAGAAACGATCTTAAAAAACTTCATATTTTTTTACCTTTCTTATTTTAGATCACCGGAAGCAGATTCCAGAGGATTATCCCAGACTAGAAACAGGTATGTGCAATTAGTCGACGAGGATTTGGAAAACCAATAATTGACTTCTTCTTAACGATATCGCTTAAGAGAACTTTCAATTCTTCCCAAGTGTTCGCTCTCCCGATTTCCATTTACATTTCGAGGATTTTAATCGCTCCAGTGATTCCTCTCGCCGTACCTCCGCAAAAATTCGACAGTTAGTCGCGCAACGTCCCACTTTGTAATAGTGGTGCGCGAAAATTATTTCCACCACATCCACAACGATTTCCGTCGGTGTTCGAGACACGGAAATCGTTACGACATCGTCGACGCTGCACATTGCCGCCGAACGATAGATCGTCATTATGCCGGGCTGGTACGGGAAAAGCCCTCTTGCAATTACCCAAACGCCTATAAGAGAGCCCGTTGTCGAACAGAAACAAGTGCCAGTTGATTATCAACGCTTTTTCCATCGATCGCACTCATTACCTCGTAATTGCATTTCCGCTGTGATAAGTTCAGTAGAAACGACCTAAGTCTTTAAATTTTAAACTCTCAGTATTTAAGTAAAAAAAAAAAAAGTTTTATGATAATTATTTTACATGATTTCTTTGATTTACATGATAGAATACAGAAATATGTTTGAGTCAATTGTTGTAACTATTATGTTTGAAAAAGAAAGATAATTAAAAATTAAAACAAATTAATTAAAAAATAGAATAAATAACGTCTAATTTGGACAAACGTCTAATTTAATTAGAAAATATGTCTATTATAATAATTTCAAACAATTTAACTTTTAATATCAGTTTGTACTCTACGTTTAATCTTCAAATCTACTCTGGATTTTAATTCGCAACCGTTTTCGTATTCCGAACTTAGACTTGGAGTAATTTGACAGCTGCGCGTTGCCTGCGACTATTGATTGATTATATACACATATGTATATATATATATATATATATATATATATATATATGTATGTATATATATTATTAGTTAACAAACATATTTTTAGTAAATAAACACATACTTTGTAACAAAAATAACGTTTGATTGAGAAGAGTAAAAAATATTCGCAGAAATTCTATTTATTAAATTTCGATTTAAAATTATATGATACGAACGATTCTACAGATCGCGCGAGTGTGACCACAATACCGATGATAATGTAACCGCATCATGGTAGAGCGTAACCACCAGTATAATAGTGTAACTTATACAATATAGCGCGCATTATCAAACGGACTTTCCCGACTAGACCGGAAGTGCAACTGCATCGCGCGGGACAATCATACGTAACGTTGACAGCCGCGAAAGACACAAGGGTTTCCATATTTTCTGCAGAGACGCGCCAACAAAAAAGACCGCTGTGGAAAGGCGACGATACATTGTGCGCGGACGGACGGAGCTGCGAATTTTTTCTAATGTGCTGGATGACTGCTGGCCTATTGGACGGCAGCTGCGGCGGCATTATGTTCGCGTGTTGTCACCGGAAAGATCCTAAAGCTCTCAATGATAATAACCTGATCGAGTCGCCTAGAGATCAATCTCGGCCGCTTCCGCTGGATTTGTACACGGAGACCTCGAGCGACGATCGTAAGTCCTTCCTTTGGAAAGCATGTCCTCCAATATTCTCTTCACACCTTCGCACCTTCGCAAGCATGAGCATCTTCTTCCTTTCGTTTCTTCAGTTCCCCGCGTTCTTCCCATGTTTTTCACCGTCTCACTTTTAGAAGTCTTTTTTCCGCTGTCTCCTCGTACGTGTATACGCACACTTCGAGCATGTAAACCACAAGCATGTGCTCCACAATCATTTTCTTCCACAATATTTTTATCCCAAATTTATCGGAAATTCACGGGATGTGGGTTCGTTTGTTTTATCGTCTTTTAAACCACCAGCATGCTCTCTCTCTTGTAAAATATTAACTAAAATAAAATTCACGTTTTCTCCAATTTTCTCCTTTTACAATCCGGGCACGTTAAATACACACACAACGCGTCTTGTCTCTCCACGCATGATCGACCGGAGATTACTCGCATCGATATATATTGTGAATGTATTTTCACACACACATACACACACACACATTATTATTATTATTATTTCCATCCAAATCCCCGTAAACGCCTTTTACGACGGCTGTAAAAGAAGCCAACTTTCCTCGATCCCACTTTTTTCGCCGCAAACGTGAAGATACGGTTTATAGACGAAATTAGCCTGAAACACGAAGGTGTGCACGTCAAATGTGCTGTCAAATGCACGATGAAATGAAACATCAAAAACGACGAAAATCACAGCTAAACGCGCGACTGTAAATATCAACGTCGTCATAATGACCGTCATTATTTTCGCGGATCAATTTTCTTGACAGTGAGAAACGCAAACAACAAATGTTTCTCTGTTGAGAATTGACTCGCAAGATTGAGTTCATCGGACGCATCTGCATTTTCGTCTCTTTCTCGTCTCATTCAATTCGATGCGACGAAAACACGCTCCGTTGCATTCGCAACAACACCCGTTTTTTCTGCACGAGAACACTTTTACTTTGTACAAAGCCGACGAGCACTACCAATAAGCGCACGACAACTTACTCGAAGACAAAAGAAACACGTTTACTGAACAAAACAGACAACATTAATTTTCTAATAATCCAACGAATCAAAACAGTTGACGTTGTTTTTTGCGGTTTTTATCGTTGTGTAAATTAATCGTGGATCTTCTCTCTGATTTACTAATAGAATTAACATAGATTTTGAATTCTTGCTCTTCTCAATGCGTTATATCTAAAGGAAAGATAATAACAACGTTGCATGACTTGTACAAAAATATATACAAAATTGTAATAATTATCGTTAAAATATTATGCGTCTGTCAGCTATTGAAAATAATTATTATTTCTATATTGCTTTTTATAAATATAAATTACAGGTATGAGTATTAATGCGGTACATCATGCTTGCTACTATTTTCTCGAGATTATTCTCATCAGCAGCTTCCGCCTAACGGCTAACATTTGCAAAAAAAAAAAACCGCAAACGATATATTTCTTACATCTGCCGTGCGGTTTTCACGAAAAGAGGGACAATTGTGGAAGGAGCGCTATATTAATCGAATCATCGTATCACTCCAAGTCTAATTTCAGAATTTCAGCGACGAAAGAAAACAGAGAGAAAGAAACTTAATTTTGTAGTCCATTCGCAGCGCCAGTTGTTGAGTCTAAGTCGTTAAGTGCAGGAGAGAGTTGAAAGCAATTGCATGTTAATTTAATTTTACTCGACACGGCCGAGCTAGAATTGCCAAATGTGTTTTGTTCGATTGATATAATTCGCGTTTTTTTAAAGAGAGTTTTTAGCAAAAATTGTTTTTAACATCTTCTGTAAAAATTATAAACTTGTCGCTTGCTATCACAATAAAATAATACTATTTTAACTATATTGTTAAATAGTTCTTTACGCGCACGGAATATCGTTCGTTCGTTTGATTCCCGGAAAAAAAGAAAAAATTCTTTTTGTAAAACAGAACATTTGGCAACTCCCGCGCAATTTTCGTCGCTCCGAATAATTAGATGACAACGTAAAATTATAACGGAGAGAAATTTAACTGCTCGCGTGAATCCAGACAATTGCATGTTTTGCAGGTTGCGGCATACCGGTTGTCTCGAAGCAAATCGCTCAGAGGAGGATTGTTGGCGGCGACGACGCCGGTTTCGGTAGTTTTCCGTGGCAGGTCAGACACGACAATAGAGCCAACTTTTTATTTTGATTTTTTTCGCGGGATTTTTGTCGTTAAAAAAATGTTGCTTGTGTTTCGATAGGCTTATATACGCATCGGATCCAGTAGATGCGGCGGCACTCTGGTCAATCGGTTTCACGTTGTCACCGCTGGGCACTGCGTTGCGAAGTAAGTAAAGCACAAAATTGTATATTTTGAAATATTATATTTTAAATATTAAATTGTATTTTATAAATAGAGTATCAGAAATATTATAAGGAAATTTTTATACGATATATATTTAAAGTATTGGACAAATTTAAATTCTAGAGCGTCGGCGCGACAAGTTCAAGTCACTCTCGGCGATTACGTAGTCAATTCTGCGAGTGAATCTCTGCCGGCCTACACTTTTGGAGTACGTGAAATCAGAGTGCATCCGTACTTTAAGTTTACACCGCAAGCGGATAGGTATGTTTTTGCGCTTTATTAGGTACATCAACAATTATTAATATTTCCATATTAATTTCGATATTATTAATTTGTGGTATTATATTGTGAAAACACATTAAATCTCGTATCTTACTTCGATCAGATTTGATGTGGCCGTTCTTCGATTGGATCGACCGGTTCATTATTTGCCCCATATAGCACCTATATGCTTACCAGAGAAGAATGAAGATTTCTTGGGGCAGTACGGCTGGGCAGCTGGATGGGGCGCTTTGCAAGCCGGTAATTTTCTATTTATAAAATTATATTTTCTACTCGCACACACATCATGTGACAAAACATATAATTTTAAAAACAAAAAATTGTTTCAGAAAATATAAAAATCTCTTGAATATATAAGAAAGAAAAAAAGAAAAAATATAGAAAATGACACATTACCCTCAACTGAAAATTAATCTTTATTTTATAAATAAATAAAGTGCATAAATGTTTATTTTAAATTATCTGTTATATCACTCTTCGTGTATGTCACTCCTTATTTAGGTTCGAGATTGCGACCCAAGACGCTGCAGGCGGTGGACGTGCCCGTGATCGATAATCGCGTTTGCGAGCGGTGGCATCGATCCAACGGCATCAACGTTGTCATTTACGACGAGATGATGTGTGCCGGTTACCGCGGCGGCGGTAAAGACTCGTGTCAGGTGAGCGGTGTCATCATCACGTGGGTGTGTTATGTTTGAACGATGAGTCGTTTTGTTCCTTCTTTCTTCGAGCACGCGGTATAACACGAGCCACTCTTAAACCTTGCAGGGCGATAGCGGCGGACCGTTGATGTTAGAGAAAACCGGTCGGTGGTATCTCATCGGCATCGTTTCCGCCGGATACTCTTGCGCACAACCGGGTCAACCAGGTATCTATCATCGCGTGGCCAAGACCGTCGACTGGATCACGTACGTCATAAACTCATAGCCGTCGACCACAGGATAAGTTGCTCTCAGGAGAAACCTGAATATTCTCTTTGTTTGAGCTGAACTTTGTATGACACGAAGTTCGAGCATTCTGCGTGCCGAGAGAGAGAGAGAGAGAGAGAGAGAAAAAAAAAAGAGGGAGAGAGAGAGAGTAAGAGAGAAAGAGAGAGGAAGAACGTTCTTAGGACCTGCGATCGCGACTGATTGTGAGAAATAACGTAAGGACGGTCGAGTTTAAAACAAGAACGTAGTAGTTTTAAATGACTTTTAAGAAAGAACTGTTTAAACAAGGTTATAGTCACACATCATACAAAGTTATCATAGCCATTTTACTTTTTACAGAAATGTAAAAATTATTTAAATAAAATCTATGTCGCGCAAGTTGCGAAAAGATTTTCTTCGATATGTTAGCGAGTGCGATTCCGCGTTGTTAATATTGTTCACGTAAAAAAAAAGAAAAAAAAAACTCATAAAGAGAATCGACATTCCATATATGTACCATGATATTACGTAAGTATTTCTGTTGACACAAGCGGGCGGCGCAAGTGTGCTGAATTTTACCGTTGCGAATGTATTGTAAATTAAAGCGTGTATGACACATGTATGGATTTGCGATTAATAAATGCTATGTTTTCGACTTCAGTGTTAAATGATTATTTTTTTGATTCTTAATTCCTCCAATTAAATTTTAATATATTTTAATAGACAAAGTTATAAACGGGCAAATAACGCGATGATATAAACAGCATTAAATAATGTTAGATATTATTAATTTTTTCAAAATTTTAGATATTATTTTGAGAACACGATTTTCGTTACGTAATAAGTAAGGAAGATATCACGGTGAAATAAATAAAAAAAAACAGCATTTACATTAAAAACATATTTTATTTTACAACCGCTACGTCTCAACACAAGCTATAGCGCCGCAATTAAATCAACACGTTAAGTATCTATTTCCGTTGCGCATATTTCGTAAGTACACATTTATCTCGATACAGTTAGTTTAACAATACGAATCGACTCTTTGACGAATCGCGATAAGATTGTGCTAGCATTAACCTTATCGTTTTCCGTCTTGCGACCTATTTTAATATATATCGCGAAATATATTCAAGATATAATCCGAAATTTATTTTATTATAATACGTAACACACGCACTTCGTGCAGCCGCCGATTTCCTCGACAACATCACACGTCGTTTCTCAGTTTCAAGTGGTCGCGTGGAATGATTTTCGAGGCGAATGTTTTTTCAACGCGGCAGCAATTACAAAGTCACCGTGTGACTCGTTAGCAATTATAAGTATATTTGTAACATTCAGCGATCGAATTTCATTTTTTTCCGCAAAATGCAATGCACATATCCATATTTCTTATTATGATTAACTAATTGCGTTAGTTCGAAAAAACAAAGAAAAACAACACACAAATAAATACAAAAGTGCGCAAATGCATTGAGAAACGAGTTGATGCGCTCGGGAAGAGCAGCGGCTAACAGAGATTGGTTGATTTTTAAATTAAACAAATTCTCGTTTAAGTATCTCCATTTGAAATCGCAGTGAAAAAAGACAAATGTTATCACGCCGAGCTCTGTTTCTAGCTCTAAGATCCTGTGTGTAAACATCTATCTATATAGATGTTAATTATCTACATGTGTGTTTGTTTCTAAGATACGCGCTCCGTTTTAAGAGGATTCTTCCTCCGTTTTTTTTTTTTTTTTTTTACAAAATAAATATGCACATTCTAAGATAAATAACAATAATACTTCTCTATATTGAAAATTGCTGTCAAATACTAATAAATTGGGAGAAAGAAGATGACGAGAGAACAAAGAAGGACTGGGTCAAAAGGGACCCTGGTTAACCGAGTCGATAAATATAAACAAGCCGATGTTTAAAATAAATCACGCGCCTTCGCGGTAAAAATATGTGTCATTATTCATGCGATTACGTTGTTTTTTTTAATAATATCTATATAAATAAATACGCAGTGGTAAAATAAACTTTATATAAATTACAAACGGTAAGTATCAACGGTTTATACAAAACACACGTGCGAAAGACTTTATGACAGCGAGAGAAAATTAAATACTTGTACTTCTGTTAACTAGAAAAGTATTAGCCGCAAATTCGGTATCGTTTCAACATTCGGCTCGTGTCATATGTTATCGCTCGTGTTGTGTTTAAGTAACGTCATCAGTCACCAAGTCGTGAATGCAGCGACAGCAAAAGAAACCCTAAATGCATCGACTCAAAATTTGTATAATCAAGATTGAGCCAAGCGCCATTACCTATTATATGATATTATTAATTTATTATCATAAATGGTATGGATATCACCGGATAGAAGGAGAGCTTATTAAGAAATCGAGATTATTACAGGAGCACCCGTACTACGTAACTGCCGGACAAGGTTCGTTCAGAATCTTTGTTATCGATCACTATGTATCGCGCCACTCTGCCGTTCTTCATATCATACGCTCATCGAAAACGGAGCTTGATATCACATATGCGAAGACAACCTCCGGTAATACTTTTTTTTTTTTTTTTTGTATCAAACGACAACAGTAATACTTTGTATTCAACATTGTTAACGTCAAAATACTTAGCTACCATTAGACCGATCTCGCGAGCGCTTCGGTCCTCAGGACGGTATGGTGTTCAGTTCAAGCACGCTCTGAGTGTTGGGCGACACTTGGTCGTCGCTCTTGTGCACCACGACGTCTCGAAAATCCTTCAGCTTTTGCGGCTGCAGAGTCGTATTCGGATTTCTGGGAAGAGTGGCGATGGGATTGGTGTTGTGAGTCATGTTGTAGGGCTTCTCGTACGAACGATTGATTCCGTTCTCCGATTCCGAATTGTGTCGTCGTTTAACGGGAGATTCCGCGGTCGATTGTTTCGACGACGAGTCCTTGTCTTCGAAGCACGGCACAGTCTGCATCGACACTGTATTTCGACAATCGTTGAAGAGAGATCGAGGATTAAGAGTGACCTCGCGAGCGGAACCAAAATGCTTGAAACCGGCGATGGGCGAGTTGTTAATGAAGCTGTTGTCGGCGGGAAGGCACGATTCGGTTATCCGTTTCTCGATCTTGATCTCGGTAACGTTCTGCTTCCGTAACGGAAGATCCGGCACAGCTTCCGGCAGTGGTTCCTGAGAGATCGGCGGCCACTTGAGATCGCGCGCCATATCGCGGTCAATCGCCAGAAATTTTCGTCGCGACTTGTCCACGTCGTGCCAGCGATAGCGCAACTTGCCAAATACGAGGTACTCAACGAACAGATGTTCGACCAGCAATGCGACTATGAAGTTCAACACACCGTAGCCGACGAGTATGAAACGGAAGCCCATATCGTCGGGCAGCACGAGCTCGAACCAGTTAGCCAACCACGCGAACGGGCACACTGCCAGATAAATAGAGAACAGACTTAGAAACACAAAAGCGGTGAGTAGGCCGTAGTTGGTGAAGAGCGACATCCTGTACGGAGGACCTTTTGAAAAAGCAACCGCCAGTATAATGTATTGCATGGCGCTGACGATGAAGATTGTGTAATTTTCCAAACATGCGACGTCGTCCTTATCCTCAGTCTCGCTCGCGTTGAACCGCACGTACCAGGACATCTGTTGCAGATGCCAGAAGCTTGTAGACTGGAAGATTGCTACGATTACGAGCTGGGTGATCAAGCTGAGAATCGGCGACATGCTGATGAGACTATTGAGCGGTGCCATCTTCACCAACGGGCCGTCGTAAGCCTTGGTGCGGCCGAAGAAGAAGGCGAATATGGAGATAATGAAGAGATCGATGTACAAAAACTGAATGTCCGTCAAATTGGATTCGATGCTGTAAAGCAGCATCACCGAGATGAATTGTATGAGGGAATAAGCGGCCATGTACTTGAAGATGCCGAACGAAGTCACTAGCGCGGCACGGCCCTCTCGTATCACGGTCAGAACGCAGGAAATGTTGGTCTCGCGGCTGGTGAACGGTGAGGCAACAGAAGATTCTGTGTCTGATAAAGAGATTCCGGTATGCGCCGCTTTCAACGCGCCGCAATCGTTAGCTCCGTCACCCACCATCGCTGCAAGAAACAAAATATCAAGTTTTTTTTTATCAGATTACCTTTAAGACGAGAACTTTTTTTTTTTAGTCCAGGTACGTGAATATTTTTAAGAATAACTTGTACGTGACGCGATTGTTATCCGAAACGACGCGCATAGGATAGCGATATCGCATATTGCTCTTGACAAGTTTCAGAAGAACAAATGTCGAACGTTGGCTCATTATCGCACGAGTAGTGTTTGAGTGACAGCTCGTTCGAAGAGGAAGCTTTCAGTGATTTTTGTAAACATAAAAGGTCACGCTTCAATCGTGAACAAAATTTATGAGTTTTCGAATTCACTGTCTCGACCGTTCAGATATCGATGCGATTTACTTCCGAAAAAATGGCTCGGTGGAAAGAAATTTTCGAGCAACAATGAAGTCATCGATGTCGTAAATAGGCGAGCCGTCACACTACGTCCGATAATGAGCCAGCAGTGACATTGACATTCTTCTGAAAGATAAAAAAACTTCGTTATCAACAACAATGTGATACTACTGTCACTATGCGTCATTTCGGGTATTTATCAATCGCTCCAAGTGATAATTTATTACATTTATTCATGGTGCTTTGTTTGTGATGTATTTTAAGAGGAAAGATTTCTGCTCCTACCGACATAATATCCTAAGGACTGCAATTCTTGAACCAGCTGCTGCTTTTGATCGGGTGACATTCTCGCAAAGATGGCACCGCGAGTAACCACCTTGGATATTAGTTCCGGGTAGAACTGCTTTATCAACGCCCACGTTTTTCCCGTCAATGCAAACGCATACTTGTTCTTGGAATATTGCACGCTGCAATTATTCACGAACAAGTCGTGAGATATTTATGTTTGTCTCTCTATTCTAGTAAATTCAATTACACAGTGTTGGAAGAGGAAGTACTTACTCATCTGAGAGATAATTGATATCGTTTTCGAGCTTGGTGTTGCCAAAGGAACCACTTTCGACAGTTTCCAGACTAACGACACTGTTCAAATCTGTCATCTCGCTGAGATCGGCCTGACCGTTCGGCGACGCGGGTGACGGTTGACTGTCGCTCTTCGTAAAGTAGATTTGCGGTTTCATCTGATTGTACAGAGAGATCGCCGAGACGGCGATCACCGGCGTGCCTGGCTTCACGATGTCGCAATCTCTGGCTACCGAGAGAGCGGTCAGCATATTATCACCGGTTACCATCACCATCTTGATGCAAGCGGTATTCAACTCGGCGATAACCGGTGAGGTTTCCGGTTTCAGTCGATTTTCCATGATTATGAGCGCCAAGAATGTCAGATCGGTCTCGACCGCCTCGCGACTTATCCTCTGCACTTTAGTGTACGGAAGACGATTCAGGGATTTGTGCGCGAGAGCTATCACTCGGTAACCTTCGGACGTGTACTCTTGTAGAACGGCCGCGAAATCCGAAGGAACTGCAAAGAGAGAAATAAAGAAAAGTTGTTGTAAAAAATTATAATATATACTTTAAAAGATATAAAGAGAATAATATAAGTAATAATATAAATATACAAAAAAATATAAAAAATAATAATATAAATAAAATAAATATAAACGGCTCTTACAACCCTATATATATATATATATATGTATATGTATTCACAAGTAAATTTTTACGAGTGAGTTTTTTGAATTGAGATTTCAATTCTTAAAATCATATAGGATGCTAGGATTTCATCACATATATGAAGGATCCCGAATACTCCAAACTAATTTAAAATATTACGAAAAAAATAAATATAAGAATAAAAATATAAAATAAATATAAAAATAAATAAAT